TTGATCGAAAAAACTACTTTGAGCAGCTTTTTAAATTTTAACATTTTGGAAGTCAAACAAATAATAGTGGTCAAATAAGTCAAAATTAACTTATAGACTAACTATTTCACCAAAGTGGGCCTAAATCTGTTTTTTTTTCCTAAATTATTATTATATTCACTTTTTCAAACATTTATGTTGACAAGTCTTCTTTAATTATTGTTCCCTTTTGCAAGTATAGGATTAACCCCACACACAGATTATTGACTTATTACATGCACCATACATTAACTCTACTAACGTACCCACCTAAACTTGATTAAATTTTAGGATTTAACTAATGACGCTCCTATCTTAAAATTTGGTGAAGGCAATAAATTACAGAATATGCATTAATTGGTTTACATGCCCCTCTTTCGCACATGATTAATGACTTTTGGGCAAAACTTTAGAATGGGGACCAAATACTTTTCCTTGATTGTTAAAGATAAATGGCTTTTCTGGCCGTTATAGCAGACAATTTGGAATTAGACCAAACATTAGAAACTGAAAGATCATCTTAATTAGAATTATATCTTATATATATGCCATTTCACATAACAATTGAATAGACTCATGAAAATGATTTCGAGTATAAAATATGGGAATGTTTACTTTGACTTTTTGTTTTTCAATTTGTTTCTAATTTAGAAATCATGTTTACCAGTCTTCTTTCTAAATTCGATTTTTTAAAGACTATTATATTATTAAAAATAACAAAATTTTAAAATTTTAGGTGAGATTCATATTCAAAATATTTTCAGCTTGAATGGAGTATTTATAATTTTTATGAGTCTAGTATATTAGATATTCGGACTAAAAATTGATTTAAAATTTCGAGTTTAATAGAAAATTTGTGGAAATTTAATTTAAATTCCTAAGTTATTGAAAAATTGCACAAAGGAAACATGTTGTTTTCTTTTTTCTAGTTTTCCTGACTCCCATCAAGAATTCTCATATCCTAAACCAAGATACCAAAAAAGATATTATTTTTGCCCAATTATTTAGTATTCATTGGTCAAATGACTCAAATCAATCTTTCTTCTTTGCTCATTTTCTTTAATATCTTTAATTATTTTTTAGTACTGCTGACTTTGTTACAATGTGGTATTTTTTCATAACTATTTTCTCAACCTACTGAAGCACAAATAGTCAAACCTCCCCAACTAGGGCTCAATTAAACCTATGACCTTCCATTCGGAGAGAAAAACACTTCATGCCACTAGACCACGAGGTCATTGACTATTAAACTTAATTAACACTATAAAAACTGAATTAAAAATAACTTTAGTCAATTCTTGTTGATCGAATTAGACACATAAAATAAGACCAACGTAGTATATTTTCTATAAGTCTTACCTCGGATCCCAATGTACATTGGAGGGTGAAAAATGCATGCATGTGAGTTAGCATTGGTCATTGGTGACATTATGAAGAGCATATAATAGTGTTGTTTGTTTGGAGTTTTGTGAAATGTGATCCACGGCGAATGGCGTACGTTAAGGTGGTCAGAGAAGGGCCTCACTATACTGCCCTACAAATATGTCTTTTGCATGCATGCCAGCATGTATGGGATTCGTATCGATGTTTACATTTCACTGTAACAAAGATAACATTTTTCTGACAAGTTTTGATTGTTTTTTGGCTTCTTTGCAAAGCCATATTCTCAACTTGCATCATAGTATATAGTGTCCTTCAAATTATATCTCTATCAGTCTCTGCCCATATAAGAACCTAGTTGACCACCTTCCAGTTATAGATGTTGAATACGTTATAGTTCTATTGGTATTGTTGACAAATTCTATAGTTTGTGGTAAGAAAGTGGGGTTATGATTGTTTAGACTTTAGATTATGGATTTAAAAATGTTGAAAGTGATCAATATTATTGATCATTAATGATAGTTTAAAATTTTGGATAGCTGAACAAATTATAGTCGGTGGTGACCTACATACCACGACAAGTGGTTCTTGTGGCATTCCAAACCACTTGGTGGTCGGAAAAAAATGGTAGCTAGACCAGCCAACCACAATTGGTGGTCGACTGATCGTTGCAGCAGCTTGAACCACTTAGTAGCCTAGCTGAAAAAAATGGTAGCTAGACGAACCACGACAAGTGGTTGTTATGGCATTCCCAATCATTCGGTGGTTGGAAAAAAGGACGGTAACTAGACCAACCACAAACTTTGGTTGTTGTGACATTTCCGACCACTTGGTATCCAAAAAAAAATATCACTAGAAACACATGGATATCTTGTAAAAATCCATAAAATCACTAGAAAAACCTTGATTTAAAAAAATAATAAAAAATCATCTTCCTATCCTCTTCTCCTCTTTTATTTTCTTCAATTTTCCTTTATTTTTCAATTTTTGAACACTTGAAAAAGTGGTCAAAATTAAGCTTCTTTTTTTTTTTTTTTTTTGCAAAAGTATTGATTTTTTTTTTTGACTATCTTTGATATGTGCATGTTCAGAATTTTCGACCACCATTAACCGTGATCAGAGAAGTTGAAAACTTTTGTCCACTCTTAAGTGATTGGAAATAGGTGAATTTCTTATCATGTATTTGTGTCAAACATTATAATATTTGACATAATTTTTTTTTTAAATTTATAGAGAAGTCAATCAATCACATATAATTAATAAATATGATTGATACAAACATGTGTTTTAGAAAAAATCAAAACCTATCCGGCCGATAAGATCAAATCAATTGTATTATTGACATATACGTTTGACCTATATGGCATCATTTCATTTAATTAATCTGGTTTGTCTTCAACTGCAAGAATTTTCTTGCCAATATTGTCACTCAAATTTCTTATTATAATACTTTGGAAGTTTATGCAAGATTAATGAAGACTGAGGCCAACAGCCAAAACCCATTAAAGGTCTATGTCGTAGCATTAGGTGTTGAATTGAAAGATCATATCCTGCAGTCGCTTAGCCCATAAGAATTTGTCCTGTCCGTTGGCCGAGGAACATTTTTTAGGGTGTTCCATTCTAGAAAAAGGTTGTTTTTTTTGGATTATAAAGACGGGGTACCCGAGACAACCTAGTTGCACCTAAGCAACGTTCACCAATATTAGGATTTGCTCTAACGGACTTAATTTATTGGTTCAATTTTAAAAGAAGAGACTAAAGTTCGAATTTTGAGTAACAGTGTGGAGATTATGTCTAATAAAGTGGACAGATCCTTTTGTGCGCACCTGCATTTGGCCTTGTCTGTTGAGTCATTGAGTCACCATGATTTACATCCTCTAAAATGCTCTTTTGAGCTTGGGGCTTGAGTGTGCGGTCCCTTAAAATTAAAGATTCAACTTTTTGAGAGAAGAAGGATTTGCTCGAGCGTCTTCTCGTTTAATAAATAATCATTAAAGAACCTCTTGTTGTATCTAATACAAAGTAGTTAAACAAGATTTTTTCTCCCACTAAGGCAACTAATACTTACTCATATGTGATATTTGTTCGAATATTAGTTGGAAAGTCCATAGCAACTACCTAAAGGTGCGTTATGATGTTATAGAAAAGTACTGAAGTTCACCTTATAATCCTAGTCAGGGCCAAAAAGAAAAATCACCCTATGTGTGCTCTAGACGAAGTTCACCTTTTTACTCTAACCAACAAATGAGGAAAACCAATTTAGGTTGTTTATGGGGGAAGGCCACCTTATAATCTTAGTTATAAAGGGATCACAATGAAACCAATTTAGGTTTACTATGAGTGAAGCCTACCTAATTAACTAATTGTCTGACCAACTCAGAATGGGTAAAACTCTTTTTAAGCATGGTGATTACGTCTCTATCTGTGGTGGTTAGCATTTATCCTTGTTTATTAAGTGCTTTTGATCTTATTTTTCTAGGTAATAATGCATCATTTGAATTGTTATCGTTATCATCCCATGAATTTTGGTTCTTTTTTGTTTTTTTCCCAGGAAGATAATTGGCGCCAAATACTACCTCAAGGGCTACGAAAGCTACTATGGCCCACTAAACAGGACACTAGACTACAAGTCTCCCCGCGACAAGGATGGCCACGGAACACATACCTCCTCGACCGCCGGCGGCCGGAGAGTGGAAAACGTCTCCGCCCTGGGCGGTTTTGCCCAAGGCATAGCCTCGGGCGGCGCGCCGCTCGCCAGGCTCGCCATGTACAAAGTTTGTTGGGCGGTTCCGGCGAAGGGAAAAGAAGACGGCAACACGTGTTTCGAAGAGGACATGCTAGCGGCCATCGATGATGCGATAAGGGACGGCGTGGATGTGATCAGCATTTCCATCGGGACGAACGAGCCCACGCCGTTCAATCAAGACTCCATCGCGATCGGCGCGCTCCACGCGGTCAAGAAGAACATCGTTGTCTCGTGTAGCGCCGGGAACTCCGGCCCCGCGCCGGCTACTTTGTCCAATACGGCTCCGTGGATCATGACCGTCGGCGCCAGCAGCGTAGACAGAGCATTCTTGGCTCCGCTTTTACTGGGGAACGGAAACAAATTAATGGTAAGTTTATAGGCAAAACTGTAGAAACTGAAAATTTTTACTATAAACTTTGGGGAGTCATTGGCACTGTTGCAAAAATGGGTCTAGGGGCGCCTAGGCATCGTCCCTAAACTGTGGCGATTTCTCTCCTAGGCGCCCCTAAACCGTGGCGATTTTTTCCCTAGGCGCTAGCTGCCTAGATGTCTGCCTAGCGCCTAACTCGACCGAACTTGGCTGAGTTAATTAACTGATTAACTCGCAGTCCGCTCGGCCTTGCTATTTTTTTCATTATATATATATATATATATATATATATATATATATATATATATACATACATACACACACACACACACACACGGGCACTGCTTTTATTTTTTTAGTTAGCCGCATAGGCGCTACTCCCCGACTAGCGCCTACTGCAGATATGATTCTCAACAAAAGGATCAAAAGTGGGGGGAAAAAAATAGAAGTTGTGCACCTACAGGAGCAATTCGTACTATGTTTTTTGTTTGTTAATATTGTTCTTATGTTTGAAATAAAATCAGGGACAAACTGTGACACCATACAAGCTGAAGAGAAAAATGTACCATCTGGTTTATGCAGGGCAGGTGGTGAAATCCAACGTATCCAAAGATCTTGAAGGGTAATGAATTGCACTACTTCTTTCCTTGCAGAGTGTTCATAAATCATACTTGTTCTGATGATGAAACTGGGATTTTGCAGGCAATGTCTACCAGATTCACTGTCGCCTGAAAAAGCCAAGGGAAAGATTGTGATGTGCCTAAGAGGGAATGGGACTAGGGTGGGAAAAGGAGGGGAAGTGAAAAGGGTGGGTGGAATTGGATTCATACTTGGAAACAGCAAAGCGAACGGAGCTGAACTCGCAGCTGATGCTCATCTCCTTCCAGCCACTGCAGTGGACTATGAAACTGCACAACAAATTCTCGAGTACATTGAGTCTTCCAAGGAGCCGAAAGCCTATATCTTCCATGCTCACACAGTTCTGCATGCAAAGCCTGCACCGGTTATGGCCGCCTTCACTAGCAGAGGGCCAAGTACAATTGCACCTCACATTCTTAAGGTAACTGGATGAGTTTAAGAATTGAAATTTTAGTACCTTGTTGACTTGGTTCTGCTTTTATGTTCTCTGATCTGATGAGATTGTTGTATGTAGCCGGATATAACTGCGCCTGGGCTGAATATATTGGCGGCATGGAGTGGAGGATCATCACCTACAAAGCTCGATATTGATCGTAGAGTGGTGCAGTATAATATCTTGTCGGGAACTTCCATGTCTTGCCCCCATGTAGGCGGAGCCACCGCACTTCTCAAGGCCATTCATCCTGACTGGAGCAGTGCTGCAATACGCTCAGCTCTTATTACTTCAGGTTTGTTTAATTGTTTAGCTTATCTTGTGTAGTCTAAAACATTGAAATCTCTTACCTTGTGCTTAGAGTTGATGTTTCTACATGAATGCAGCTGGGTTGCGAAACAACGTGGGAAAGCAAATAACTGATGCAAACGGCTCCCCAGCAGATCCATTCCAATTCGGGGGAGGACATTTTAGGCCATCCAAAGCTGCAGATCCTGGACTGGTTTACAACGCCTCATACACTGATTATCTTCTCTTCCTTTGTGCGTATGGAGTAAAGGGCGTCGTCCCATCCTTCAAGTGCCCCGAGAATGCTGCTTCACCTTCCAACCTCAACTATCCCTCCGTTGCCATTCCCGAACTCAAAGGGAAAGTGACTGTCAAGAGAACCGTCACAAATGTTGGCAGTGGCAAAAGTCTTTACTTTGCTAGAGTTCAGCCTCCATCGGGATTCTCTGTTGAGATCTCTCCTCCCATCCTGTACTTCAGTCACGCGGGCCAGACAAAGAGCTTTACTGTTACTGTTAAAGCACGCAGAGATATGAAGAAGAGCGTTGAGAAACACGAGTATGAGTTTGGATGGTTTACCTGGAATGATGGACTCCACAATGTTAGAAGTCCCATTGCAGTGTCATTAGCATAGTTTTTAGCATGACTTTTAGATCTCAGGCATTATTTTTTACCACCTTGGACTCTCATTAGACAGATTTAGTCTGAAATAACAATGTAAGAAAGATCCAATTCTAGAAAAGGTTTGACTATATTACTCAAATCCAAGTATGATATGAACAACACATCAGGTAAAGCTCACAAGTTCAATACTAATCTACTCTCACTATTCCTGAAGGCTTTAAACTCAACACTGATGGTGTTAGGAGTCGCAACTACTTCATTCATCCCATGTATCTGTTTTCACCCTAACACGTTCACCGTTGAAGTGAATATATTTCCATTTCCTCTGATACCTTTTCAGAACCATTTTCTGCTTGTCTAATTGACCTAATGTGTGGAAAGCTCGAGCAATTCTTCTAACAGTATCTTCATCCGGTTTTACTGCCAATTCTTCCATGTCTGCAAATACCTGAAGTTTTTAATTGATGCACATAGTCAAGAAGTGGCAAGGCAAAGAAATTACAATTATCAAGCTCAAAATGTTTGTCACGAAATACTAATATTGAGATGAACTATGGCAAAAGCAAATGTAAACAATTAAAGTTGGAATAACTAGGAGGATCACAAGCAAGAATGTTCACTTACCTCTATGATCTTATCCGGCATATTATGGTGATCATACAATGAAATAATTCTAGAAAACAGCCATTTTGAGATAGAGCGGGTGCGTGTATTTAGGATCATATTCCATAACATCCCTGCCTCATCTACTCTCTGATCCATATCAAATGCTAGCAGAAGCAAATCATAGGTACCCATAGTTGCTCCTTGACCTTTGCTCAGCATCCACTTGGCCACCTGAGCATTCAAATCCACAGCCACATGATTAGTGGAATAAAATTTTGCAGGAATCTTTGCAAACATCATCAACAGCAAGGTGTCAAAGGGTCTCCATCCGGTGTAATTTAACAAGTGCATCACAAACCCGTTATGTATGCTGTAGTAATTTAGAAGAATCTATCATTATGGTGAAATTAAGTTGGACAAAGTTTGGTATTGGTCTCTAAAACAAAACAGCCAAAATGAACCAAAGCATATATAAGGAATGCAACCCAAGCCCATGTACAGTATTTGAGGTCTCGTTATTGAAGCAAGCATAAGAACAAACTTAGGTCAGTTGGTCATGAATGCACCAGATTGCCAAAATGGCACTCCTACTTGCATACATGCCAACTGACACAAACTCAAATAGTAAATGACAAATAAACACTATCACTGCTTCTCTCCTGAATTAATCTAAAGTATCCAAATATTGGAAAACTAATACCTGGATTAGTCGTCTCCACTGGCTTTGTTTCCTTAATATTCTTAAGGCCTTAGCTGCTGCAATCACCGGAAACTCAGTTTCCCATGCTACCCATTTATCTAGTGCAGCATAAACAGCATTCTTCTCATTTGGAAGTCCTGAGATCTGCAAAGTCAAAGCCAGAAGTTAATAGACAAAATGTATAAACCAAGTGTACCCTGTATGTTTGTGCAAAAGACACCATACTTAGAAGCACCCAGACAACATGCTTCAAAGAGTATCATTCACAACTGTCCCCCAAACCACTTTAAAATGTACAGGTACTTTCTGGAATTTTTCAAAAATCCCCTCATTTTGGTAACATTTTCCTACAAATTATACCCTGGCCAATGTTAGTGCTCCAAACTACTCCTGGACTCCTGGTTTTTCTAACTTTTCAACATCCATGACTTAACAAAGAAAAACTTGTTTATTGAGTTAGTGCTGATTGATAGCAAATTCCTTAGGTATTCAGTTTTATATGAAGTACTGGTTTTTAAAAGCATTGGTTAGCCTACTAACAGCAGGAACAATCTAGTATACACTTACAATCCTAACAAGATTGAGTGCCTTCTGCCCAGACCCAGCAGAATCTCTTTTCTTCCATAATTGGTGTTCTTTCTTTCCTCTTCTCTGTAGTTTCCTGCATTTCCCATTTAATCAATTTGGACATGTGTATACCATGATAAAAGTTGAAATTTAATCTCAGATACAAGATTTTAACCTGATGAAACTCACTTCTCACCAGGATTGGATCTAGTCAGAGATCGCTCGCTTTGACTACGGGTTATGTGGACTGGTGGCATACCAATTACCTATATATTGAAACAGAAACTTCTAAAATGGTAAATGAAAAGTCATCATATGAAGTGCATAAAGAGAAATTAAACAAAATAGTGGAAAGGCAATGATCATTTATGCTTGCCTTTTCAGCTGACACTGCAAACTTCATAGCTTTCTTCCTAGGAGCATGGTACTTCAAGAACTGAATTTGCAGCAAACCATCCACTCTAGCACCAGAAATCTAAAACAGCACATACAAAATGAAAGCAATAATGAACACTGAAAGTAGCAAGATGGCATGTTAAAAAACAAGAAACAATGCAAGGGCCCGAAATGTAAGCATTACCTGCTTTTGTATTAGTGTTGAAAATTGGTTAGGAAATGTATAAGCACAACCGCTAGACATCATACTCTAGTTTTCTACTTCAAGAAATTATGCGGAAGAAGCACACATATATCTGATATCCCCTGCTTGAATACATTTGAGTAATATCATCAGTCGAATTCATGAAAACATAATCTCAAAAGAAAAATGCTGATTATCCCTAATTTTACCGCCCACAAACCAACCACTCCATGATGTGGTAAAATCCTAGGCATTAGTTTTTCTTCTTTAATTTTAATTCTAATTTTACTAATGTCTAGGATTTTGCCACATCATGAAATGTTTGGTTGGTGAGTGGTAAAATTAGGGTTGTGTAGCATGGTTCATCTCAAAATATGAGTAACCATTTCCGAGAAAGATTGATTTTCTTAACACAGCCACAATAATCAATGAGAAACTAATACAGTAACATAAATTGAGTATCCACATTCCAGCAGAACTGATTTAAGTTAGTGTATCAGCAATCTTGTTTGCGCTCATTAAATCAAATCAAAATAGATTTTGCATTTTTCTGGTTTCAGCAACAAGTTTTGCGCCATTCCAGCTATTATACTGAATTTAGCAAGATTCTCGTATATATGCTATAAAAATTGTTTGGAAATAAAGTGAATTTGAAGCAGTAATTGAAGCTAATTCAATTTGCAGAGATACAACATTCTTGAAGCTAAGCAGGAGTTAAAGGTTCAGAATACATAAATTTAACAGAAATATCAAAAATTTTATTGATAAAATTACCTTCAAGCTGGAGAGAAGACGAAGGGATGCAGTTTCTGACATCTGCAATTCAATGGCTTACATTTTGCGAGGGAAAGAGATGACATATTCGGGTTACCCGACCCGTATAGTTTCCCGGTGATGTTATTGGATTGGATCAATTCTTGAATTCTTATTGTTCATTGGGCTTTCGGGCTTGCTTGCCTATAGGGAGAAAGAAATTTGTGGGGTTTAAATTTAATTTGGACCTTGAAATATTTTCCCCGTATTAAGCATTTCGCTCTTATTTTAAGGAGCTCTATTCTTGCAATCATTATGTCCACACAACTCTGTGAATCATACTATCAAATAATGTACTTTTAGTATATTAAAAATGTATATTGTGTTCAAGAAAAGTATATTATTTGAGTACTAAAAGTACATTATTTTGTATAATGTACATTCAGTACACAAAGTCACAAATAATGTACTTTTTTTTTTTAAGAATAAGGTACTTTTTAGTATATTAAAAATGTACTTTTGTTATAGTCCACGTAATACTGTGTCTGTGTAGACCATTGTCCACAAATAATTTGCCCCTATTGAGTTGTTATACCATGGACCAAGGTCCACCTTGCAAGGTGGATCCTAGTCTAAACAAAGTATAAATTGTGTATTTTTAGTTGGAATTTGTGAATACAATACATGGTCATCAAATCCTAATCTGTTAAATATTGTGTGACTGCAGTATTTGAAAGAAACTTGTGAATACAAAACAAGGTAACTAATTACATATATATTAACATTGTGCGTTTGCAATATACAAATTATGAATTTTTAAAAGGTAAATTATAAATATTTAATATGTAAATTGTAAATATTTAGACATAGATTCATCTAGCAAGGTGAACCCGAGTCTACAAATAATTTGCCAAGTTTTAGAGATGTTGAGTTGGAAAATGACTCACGAGTGATAATTGAACAAACCCACACATGCACATTGACAAGCCCATTAGAGAGAGAGAGTTGATGAATAAGGACTCGAAATATACAATCAAGTACTTCATTGAAAAGCTTTGATTTATGGTAATGCTTGAATGGTCGCCTTAAGTAGCTAGAGTCCACTTAGTGATATTAGTTAACAAACGATTACAATGAGATAAACTAGCATATGTTGTTTATAGCTAATTGGATTAAACGAAGAAGACAACTCCCATGATAATGACAGATTGTGTTTTATGTTATGTTTTCAAGTACTGTTCACTTGTACCCATAACCCAATAATAATAACAACAAACACTGCTCCCAAAGTTGGACAATGAACCAATGATTTGTGATCAAGATCGAATGAGCAGTGAGAGAATTTTCTCAAATAAAATTTAACAGTAACTCAATTATGAATTAGTTGATTATTGGAGAATATAGTGCCAAAAAAATTAGTTTCTTGGTTGATTTTCACTACTTTTCATTACAATTCACATGTAATCCTAATGTAAAAAGGGTTAGTTGTTTCCAAGTAATGAGTGTGACTTTAGCTTAGATTGGTTCCGTGGTGATTAAGAAGTAGAGATACATCTTTGCTTTCAGCCTCATGTGGCCTAGCTCAAGTAGTTGTTCAATCAACGTTTATTTAGTTTTTGTTTTCAACTGCAGGGTGAGGTTTAAACCAATTAATGATGATGATTGAAAATCTTTTATGACTAGAAAAATCTGAAATCACTTGAACAACTTGAGATTTGCCTCATTAGATTATTAAAAATAAAAAATAAAAAACAAAACAACAAATAATTGGAGATAAAGGAGAAGTCACTATCCTTTGAGTAGTAGTGGTAGTTAACATCAATCAATTACATTTGGTAATTCAATACAAAGCTTTATAAGATGTGATGATTCATCTTCTTTAGAAAACCTTCAAAAAGTCAAGCACCCCCACTCCATCAAAACTCTTCTTCCCCATGCAAATTTCCCCATTGGTCCACCTCGATCATATACTCCACATGTATCATTAAAGCAATTGCAATAGTGATTTTTGCTCAATTTTTAAAGAAAAAAAAAAACTAAAAATTGGTTTTTATATCATTCGAAAGGGATATATCTAGTTTTGGTTTTTATATCATTCGAAAGGGGTATATTTGACTAGATTTTTCTCGAGCAAATATGATTTTTGGGTGGGGTCCACTTTTGAAGGGAAAGGGAAAAACTTGCACAGATTGTTGCGCATGTGCACCAATCTGCGCGTCTTTGGGCGCATAATGCTTTAGGTTTTTTTTTTCCTGAATTTATTGTTTCCCCCTCTTTTTCATGTTTTCCTCTTGTCACTTGCTTCTCTCTCCTACATGGACTGCAAAAATCTCACAAAAATCTACAACTATTGAGGTTGCTCTTTAACATCATACATGTACTCATCATACATGAGTACATGTAAGTCACTTCCTGTCACCTTTCTTATTGAAAGCAACACTAATGTTATATATTAGACCACAGAATGATGGGTGATATCATTAGAAACAAGGTCTTTGGTAATATTATCTATTCTTAATTACATAATTTAGTAAAACTAAAACATTGCGATTTTTAATTTTTTTTCACAAATTATTTCCTCTACTGAACGCACCAAATTAAAAGGTCTATGATCAAATTAGTTGTTGAATAAATCAAACTCCTTCTCTTGTAAGAAACACTAACTACGTACATACATAGTCTACCTGGAGTACCTGCTAATACCTATCCTTTTGTACGTGTTTCATATAGCCGTTAGTTGTTTTTGCAAGCATAAAAGTAAACTGGGATTATGTAAATTAATGTCTTATTAGTTCTTGATATTCCTGTAAACGTCAGTAACTCTAACTACTTTGGTGGGCAATTGATATTACATACTGACAAGGTATTTTATGAATCTCAATTTTAGTTGAAAAAAATGACGGTAACATTAATTTTTAACCAAAAATCTTTAATTTTTGATAAATTTTAAGTGGTCATAAATCTAAAGATTTCTAGTCATGATCATTGAGGCAATAATTAATAATTGAAATAAGTTGTTTGGAAAATTTACGCGTCAGGCGACTATTAGCCGAAGTCTTAGATTGAAGCATATACAACAATAAAATAATGGCCAATAATTAACTTGTAGGTGAGATGAGGTTAAGTCATTATCATCCACACAAGATAATGCCAATATCTATCTTATAATAATGCATAGTTTGATAAACAATACTTTCTATATTTGTACGAAAATGACCATTGCCAAGGATTTATCTCAAGTCATTCTCCTATAAAGCAAGCATGCACATACTAATCAAAATTATGTATCGAGCACAACTTAATTAATTGGTAATTAATCCAAAATAAGTCTATAAAATTTGCTCTAATTTTGTTATAGGCATTAGTACGTGTACAAGTATTTGAGGGTAGGGTGGGGGAGGGGTTATCATCCAGTTAAAGTCACATCCCGTAATTTATTTACTCCACTCGTCTCTAGAGCAAAAGCAGTGAGAGGCCTTAAAGTTTAACTAAAGTTCAGTAAAAGTGCATTAGCCTTAGGCAAACTCAGTTTTCGTGGCAGGTAGCTTAAGGAAGGCGCCAAGGGCCGACAAAGGGGGGAAAACAAAAGGCGTTTTCTGGTCCCCCCGAACCGGGGGATGCTTGTGGGGGAGGGGGTGGGTGTGCCACGACGAAACAAGGGAATGAAAGGCCGCTTTGCGTTGGATGCTCTTTACCCTCCCCACAATGATGGCTCTGTTGTCTTGGGGAGCGTTGAAGCTTGCTTCTTCTCTAGAGTTTTCTAGTTAAAATTATATATGCCTAGGGTACAATTTAACTGATCAATCAACTCAAAATAAGTTCATAAATTTTGTTTTAATTTGACCTTGTTGTGAACACTGGTATACAAGCTTTTAGGATCCTATCATCCAATTGACATACATTTAGGGATTTACTTCATTCACACGTTTTCAAGATAGAAGCGACAAGGTGACAAGTGGCCTAAAGTTTGAGTTTAGGATTAAACGTATATATATATATATATATATACTAATCAAAGTTATTGTATTAATTAATAATAATGAATGGTTAATCCTTCTTCAAAATGTAAGCTCTTTATTGGTCTGCAAGATGCAACTCTCATTTATGCTGCCTCTAATTTGGATGCGTGAATTTTTTAATCACAACTGATAACATATTTTAATATATACATACAGTCGTTACGTATTTAACAAATCAACAATCATGCATTCGTGAAGTAAAATTAATATATGTGTTTAAAACTATGGGTCTCAACATTTACAGGGATCCATAAATCTTTAAGTTCGATATATGTATCAATTGGGACAATCTCAACTAAGTTAGTTGGACAGTTGACTTGATAATCACAAGGCTCCAAATGTAATTCTTTATAGAAATTGCCTGTTGACTTTCTCTATTTAAAGTTTTAAACCAATCATATATGTGCACCATCATGGTTTACCTTGTTTTTTTTTTACAAGTTATAATTTTAATTTACTCATAATACACATTTGGGTAGCTGTTGCGGGCGATCTAATATAATCAATTTTACATGTTTTTAAAAAAAAATTAATCAAATCTTATAACAATGTTTTATCTGTTTTTCAAAAAAAAAAAAAAAAATGTTTCATCTGATTAAGTTCCAGAAAGGGATCAGAGGTAGATTAGTTGATTTTTATATGATTGTAACAGTTGTTAGATCAAATATTATAATGTGACATGGTTTAACTACAAGAAATGATACGTTGTTTAGGAGTTAATTATAATTTGAGTTTCTGATTATAATAACATTTTAACATTTAGTCATACTTTTAAAATTTTATCACATTAAATCCTTGACTTTATTTTTATTTATTTATTCATGTAAACACCATTTTGGTCGAGTGTGGCTTACCTTACATGTCTGATTTACGAAATTTACCTAGTGCACTCCATTGGATAGTGACTACAGATTTTTCTCAACACAAAAATTAAATTAAAAATTGTTATTCCCAAACATCATTAATGACAACTAAAAATTGTTATATAAATGACAACTTAATCCTCTCAAATGCTCTGTCGGGCCGGGGTGTGGGGGCCCTTAGGGTTGGGGTTCAGCATTTTTGGAATAATAAATGACAACTTAATTCAATCAATGAAGCAACCTTGAGAACATATATCATTAATGCAAATCCTTTCCCTGTGATAATTAATTACATTTTTTAGGGATAAATTATTGAGAGATATGATTAAATAATTAAATAAATAATAAAAGGAGTTGCATATTGAGATTTGTTTGCTTGTTGGGTTGATTAAGAGAGACTTGGTGGCCAATCAGAGAAGTGATTTACTACACGATAACAGCGGCGGGGCAGAAGCGACGTGGCATGAAAGCAGAGAATAATTCGGATTCCGGGTGCCGCGTTGCGTGTGAGGGCCACCCTCCACGTGTCATCCTGTAATTGGATTGTCGTGTTTGAAATTTTCCTGTACAGGTGTCTGGATAATTACCCCTCGTGAACCGGGGCGGATAATGAGCCGTCCGGTGCGCCGAGCTGCATTGCTTTTAGCTTCAAACCCACGGCTCACAGCCAGACATCCAATCATTGCCATTCGCTAAGCGATCAATCCTATGATACAAAACATTAAAATTTAAGGATTGTTTATTTATTTAATTTTTTAATTTTCATTTCTTTAGTTTTCTACACCGTATTTTTATTTTTGAAACTCAACTTTCTCAAGATTTATAAACACAAATTCGAACAAAAAAAAGTCTAAAACAATAGCTAAAGAGAAAGTAACATGTTACTTGACACCTTAACAGTAACCTGCTAAAAGTGCTAATTGTATTTTTTTATTTTGTTTTTACAAATTCAATAGTCTAATTGAACTTTTTATAAGTTCATCAGTCTAATTAAAACTTTGTTTAGTTCAAAGATCAAAATTACACTATTACTATTAATTTGAGGGTTTATCTGATTATTTTTAATTGTATGCATTGCAAATATTTGCTCAAATTTTTTGACGTATATGCTAATGCATGTAACTATAATTTTTTTTTTTTTTTGAAAGTTACTGGCTCTATTACATTGTAGTATCTGTTCATATACTTTCTCAACTTACTGAAACACAAAGAACCAATAACGCCTCCACTGAGGCTTGAACTCATAATCTTCCAATTGGAAGTCCAACCCGGATACCATTAGACCATGTAACTATAATTAATTGCTGTGATTTTCAAGAAAACATTTTTTCCGTTCAATAAAACCGTGTAATCATTGTACGGATTTGAGAGGTAAAGTCAGCAAAGGGAAAACAAACTTCTTCATTGTAGGTTTTATTAGTTGAACTATTCTATGTTAATGTCTTTGTTAGTTCAAGGGGTTATTTGTGTCTTTTCAAAACTTAGTATTTGGATTATCAAGTTGACTCTCAATCTTTGTTGGTAATAGTATATGAAATATTTTTTATTTACAAAAAAAAAAAAAAATTACTATTAAAAGTGTACTATGAATGAAATCCAGTTTGTAACCCTATATGACAAAAACCACAATGAATAATATATGGAATATTCTTGTATTTAATTGGATTAATTAAGAAGTGATTTGCATTTATTCAACTACATACTAATGACTTATAGGTAGGTATAAATTGAAAGATATGTATATTTGAATTCATAATATTCATTATCTTTCATGTGAGTCTGACTCTGATACTAAATTAAATGATGTGTTCCGGCATAACTAAAAAGCTAACCTCATAATTAACTAGACATTTATATTTATATATTATATGCATAGGCAAAATTATATTTTTAAATAAAGTTTTAAATTTGAATCTTATGAATGAATAGGAGGCTTCACCGCTTTTATACGAATGTTTCTACATGAGTGTTACCGATAATAACTCGATTCTAAATTAATTCAAACTTAATAGCATTGGAATCAAAAAGTCTTGTCAAAGTTCATTCAATTTTTTTCACATACCACAAGATCGATATATAGACTAATTTAGTTCAGTTTTAATTAGACTCATTCAAGATAGATTTCATGTGTACTCATAAGATTCCAAGTACAACTCTCCATGCGAGTTGCTTATATATTATCCTAAGATAATTTATCTTGCTCTTATGTGTCTTCAAATAGTGACGACGTTTATTTAATTTGAATTATTCCATTACTAATTTATCCCATCTAGAATGATAAGAAATTAGGGAATCAGTAGCTACATCTTTTTCTACGTTATCCCAACGACTACCACACGTGCATGAGATAAAATAATGTATTACATACCAAAAATTAAATTCGATGAGTCTAAGATGACAAACATTTTTCTTAAAGCTAAGCGCCTAAGCTAGACGACTTTTACTTGGGAGAATTTCTACCTAATTACATTCTCTCAATTGAAGGCATGTGATCCATCTCAACTAAAAATCTAAGCTAATAGTTAAATTGCACATTAATAGTTATATATTCAACATGTCCCCTCATGTGTGAGGGCCGTTTACTTTTAGGCTCCACTGATACAAAATTAAAGCATATAGGCTCAATCACAACTAAAAGCCTAAACTAATAGTTAGCTTGCACATTAATGATTATATGCTAAGACTCCCAAGCCCAACAAATATATCCTCATACTTTACATACATTTTCCCACACCTATTCCTCCCAGTCGTTATATTATAGACCGCGGTGCACATGCACCGCGGTCAAAAACGGCGCCGTTTTTTTAAGTAAAGAAACGGCCCGCCGTTAGAGTTAACGGAGTCCGCTTGTTTGGTGTATTAAACACCAACTGACACTATAGTATATCTAAACCGACACTGCAGTTATATCAAAATGATACTGTAGTTATAGTGAAATGAAACTGCAGTGTATATAAAATGAAACTGAATAACATTTCACATATTTGAGTGTATATTGTACAATGAAGCTGTAATTATATCAAAATGATTATGTAGTTGTGTTTTAATGAAACTATAGTGTATATAAAATAAAATTAAATAACATTTTCACATATTTGAGTCTATAAATATCGAATGAGACTATAGTTATATCGAAATGAAACTGTAGTTGTGTTGGACTGAAACTACAGTGTATACAAAATGACACTGAATAACAGAGTTACTTTTTGCAAAAGGGTGCGAAACGGCGAAAACAAACACTGTTTATTTTCATTTAAAAAAAAAAAAAAAAAAAAAAAAAAAAAAAAAAAAAGAAGACGCGCGGTGCATAATCGATTATGCACCGCGGTGCATAATATAATTTGTCTATTCCTCCTTTAATTTAGAACCCTATTTCATCGATCTTGAATTGGCCGGGGCACGTGCATCATAATCTGAACATCATAAATTCATACATTCGATCAACTACACAGCTCATTCAAATCCAACCTAATTATTTGTCCAACTACTATTAACTGCAAGTGTGAAATGGTTCTTACACTACTACTAAAACGTTTGAAATTTTCTGTGATCGAAAAGTGAGTAATAATTTTCAACCTAATATTGAATTAAAATTATTATATAACTAATGCGTAACAAATATGGCAAATTATTATGTGGACCATGAATACAATATACATTTTTAATATACTAAAAGTATAATATTTGTGTACTGAATATACATTATTTGATAATATAAAAAAAATTATGTACGTTTAAATAATATACTTTATGTATACAAATAATGTATTTTTAATATATTAAAAATATACTTTTTTTTATGGTTCACATACACAAATGCGTGAACCATGGTCCATGGAATAATGATTGAACAAATATAAAGCATGTTAGCATAAAGGATTTTTTTTTGGTATGTCTTTTAAGAATTTGAGTAATATAATAAAATTGGACCTAAATTTACTAACTAAAATAGAGTGTAATTTACTATCAAATTAACATCCGAATCACAACATAACAAAGCAACTTGCCACCTAATGACGTTCATTTAAATATTTAATTTATTAAAAGATCGAGATTACAAATTTTATTTTCAATGATGAAGACATATATATATATATATATATATATATATATATATATATATATATATATATATATAAAGTTCATATGAGAACTTACTCTCTCTGTGAGAAATGTGGATAAATCTGAATTGTTCATCTAGTATATTTCATGGTTGAAAATAAGCCAAACAAGAAACGAGATCATTTTAATAAATATTACAAACTTTTAAGTTTGTAATATTTATGAAATTGACTTATTTTTTTTTTCTTAAATGTTCAATCGTTCAATTTATTAGATTGACAACCTAGATTTATCAACAGCTCTACCTAAAGAGTGGTTCTCATAGGAATCATGATATATATATATTTAATTATGAGTTTGAAATATGAGTACTAATCAACAAAGCGAGTTAAATGTGTATATCTTACCTTAGTGGTTAAAATACTACTTATAGTACAAAAACAATGTGAAAGGTAATTGAAATTCCGGCATAATTAATTCATTTAGAAATAAATAAGACTTAAAAAAAAAAAAAAAAAAAAGACTTTTGAATATACAAAAATTACAGAGACAGATAAGCCAAAGAGTCAAGTCAATTAATTCTTGTATACAAGCAAATGAAGCAATGAAGCAAGTAGCGCCGTGAGAGGGCTTAGCTACGGCGAGTTTACCTTTTAGAGAGAGAAACAGAAAACTTGTAAGAGAGAGAAAGCGGGGACTACACTCAACGCCGACGTCAGCAATGAATGCTGCGTCCCCTATAAATCCCTCCCCTTTCCCTCCCTTTTCCCACTTCATACATCTAATTCCTCATCGGCCATGGCAGAAGAATTCCTGGAATCGGAGATTGTGTTCCCGGAGAGCGTTAACGATAACGGTTACGCTGTTGACGAGGATCGGAGCTTCTCCGGCGACTCGAGAGAATCGAGGAGTAAGAAGCAGAGGCGGAGGACGATGATGAAGACGACTGCTGCGACGGAGAGAAGAGAGGCGAATTCTCTTCCGGTGAATATTCCGGAGTCGTGGTTCCGGTGCGTGGATGTGGAGCCGGACTTTTTCGGCGAGGACGACGAAATGGTGCCGCCGCACGTAATCACCGACCGGAGAATCGCCCGGAAAATGATGTCATTTTCCGTCTGCACCGGGTACGGGAGGACGTTAAAGGGAAGGGATTTGAGTGAAGTAAGGAATTCAATTCTTAGAATGACTGGCTTTCTCGAAGCGTAGCTTCTGAGATTAGTATGAATATCTAAATGTAATTATTTAAAAAAAAAAAAAAAAAACCGCAATAATAATGAGAGGAAGAGTTTAACAACGAACAGCATAGCGTTTTCATTCAAATTAATCACTACTTTCCATTGTTTCATATTGGGGTAGAAAATTATAAAAATGCCAAAAACAAATCCCATCAGCTCAGAAAGGGAAAACAAAATAGAGATCCAAATATTAAATTAAAAAAAAAAAAATATATATATATATAGTAATAGCTTTTCCAATTTGTAAATATGGGGAATTTCCAATGCTTGAGAAATACAAGACACGGCATCATAAACTATCCTATAAATTTTATTGTATGCAATTGTACATTTTAAATTACTAGTTGTATATCATGCTTATGTTACATATTGCTTGTCCATAATTCACACATTTCAGAAATGAAATAGATTGTTAGTTGTAGTTTCTTTTATCACTAAAAAAAAATAATAATAATAATAAAATAATTTGGGTATCGCTTCTGTAATGTTTTATTCAAATAAGAAAAAAAAGAATTATCATTTTCAATTATTTTTAGTCGAGCTTAAAATTATGACTATTGATTTAGAATAAAAAGCAAACGAACAATAAAAATCACATGATTACTGATATGAATAAATTATTATTAATATTATTATTATGAAAAAAAAAAATTGAAGCATCAATCAACATTGTGCTTCTATCTTGTATCAAATACAATTCAAAAGGTGTAAATTTAAACGAAATATTGTGATAACAACATTCTCACAGTTGTATAATTCAAAGTGTACACCATTCAGTCATTCAATTTAGTATTATATTTTTTGGAATAATTTAGTATTATATTGTTTCGGAAGAATTTAGTATTATGTTAAATACAAGAGTCACTTATGCTGACATGCTGTCAAAGACCTTGTGGTCAAGCGACATAATTGTGACTTTTCCAAATAGAAGATTACAGTCTAACAAGTTTGAATCCCAATGTGAAAGAATCACTTATATATGCTCTGATCTAACACATTATTATATCAGAAAACATTTAGAATCATCAAATAGATAAGATAGAGTTGTTCACTAGAGAAATGTGAAGCCTTTCATCCATCCCTTTATTCTATTTTGCACCTTTTTTTCTTTCTTTCACTAAGAGACAAATGTAGCATTTCCCAATTGAATTGAAATTTTCCTTGTTTATTTCTTTTTTTTTTTTGTCAAAAAATGCTGTTTCAGACTTTCAGTTCCACAAGAATAATTAACTTGGATTGACCAAACTATCTGGCCTTACTATTGATGTCACAATCATGTAAAGGATATATCCACATGAAATATAGTCCCACAGAAAACAAAATAAATTCCATTGATGTGAAACCCACAAGCACTTAGGTTTCAATGCATCTAAAAATCCTATCCAAAATATAAAAATTTTAAAAGAATATGCCCTGCAATGACTGATGTGAACCATTGGCAACAATCAAGGGTGATCATGTGACCATTTCAAGGCAGAAAGTGAAACCTGGGAATCATAGAAACAAAGGCAGTTGAAGAAAAAAAAGATGCTGAAACAATGCATAAAGCAGAGAAAAACAAGATATTATTCCACTCACCTATAAAACAGACAACATTTGAGCAGTAAAAGCTGCAGGGTTGAACTCATACTTGTTCAATGTATGTATCTATGTATGTATATTGGTATCAATTTTTGGTTCTACGACGTACTGAATATGGCCTTGGCTTGGTTGGTTGATATGCGTATTTGCTGAGATCCATATCTCTCGATGAACTTAAGCAAGGAGGCGATATTAGATGCTTTGTAACGAGAATATATATGTAATGTATGAAGAAAAAGGTATAGTTTAGAGTTTACCTGCTGTGGCTTGCGTTTCTGATGTCCTTCAATGGGGGACGAAGACCACTGGCACGAGAACCATTTGATGTGAATTTAAATGAGGAGATCACTGAAACAAATCTTTCCATTGATTTTTCAGCTATTTCGCAATAATGGCCTATGTGAGAAATGTTAGAACCAAACTTCCCATCTTCAGATTTCGCTTCTGTAGCTGAACCATACTCATCACTTACTGAAATATAGAAATGTTACATGGAGCAATAAGTAAGCCATCAAAGTACTTCTAGTTTAAGAAAATCCACAGCTTTAATCACTTCAAATGTATGCTTAGTGTTATGGAATGTACAAAGTAATATGGAACCTATATATATTCGGCAGCTTGGTGATTTATAGGGATTTGAGTAAGTAGTCATATGGAACTTATTTCCTTATTGGAAGTCTTCTAGCATTTATTTATAGGGTTGTGTATTCCCCTTTCTAACACAGATTTACAAATCTTCTATTCATTTTCATACAATATATATTTTCTTATTCCTTGATTCTTTGTTTCTGCCTAACTGGTGGGTGGTTGTTATTTTTCACCTGCCAGACATTTGGATCATTCAAATTCAACACTTAGTGATGCTTCAAAGTAAATGCAATAAAATGTGTCGGTTTGAGAATCAGGCTTACTTTGATCTTCTGTTGGGGAAGTATCAGTCAAGATATTACCGCCTCTTACAGTGTCCTGAATAAAAGAAACGAGCAATAAGAAATCAGAAGAGTTGAATGAAGGAGGCTATCAATTCGAGCAAGACTTTAACATTGTGTTGAAGGTGTTTAAAAAAAAAAAAAAAAAAAAAAAAAAAAAAAAAAAAAAAAAACAGAGGGTACTTACAGTTTCGATATCATTATTGAATGTAACCTTTCTCTTTCTCGACTTTCCTTTGTAGAAGTCATGGCTTAAAGAATTCTCAGGCTCATGAATCTCGGCTTCTTCTGCTAAGAGCTTTCCATGTTCTTTGTCTTGGCCATTCTGCTGCTGAAAATATGAGCTTCTTACAACAACTCTTCTGTTTTCTGTTTTCATTTTGCTATCATCTGCACAAAGAACCAAGCATATGTTTATATCTTAGTGGTAACATCATTAGGCTAATCACTATATTATGTTTACCATTTTCCTCTGCAGAATTGTGCTGGGAATTGGAACTCCTCATAGTAGGTTTTCGGAAAATTGTTTGCATTTTTCCTTTGCTTGCCTCTGAAGCAGCAGAAAGGGGTTCTTCATCACAAACAGATTCATCCAAGTCCACCTCACTTTCTTGATTATTTTCCTTCCCATTCTTTGGCAAAAAATAGGAACTTCTTACAACTACTTTTCCATTCTCTGTTATAGTCTTGCTTTTGGCTAAACCTGAAGCCCTCTCCTTATGCAACACAATACAAGGCTTGCAGATCGAATGTTGAAATGGAGCACGTTGCATTCCTTGGCCATCTGTGAAGTCTTCTTTCTCGTGAATTCCTATATCAAGAACACAAGGGGAGGCGGGGAGTATTCAATCATAGTTGTCAACACTCAACGCAAAATCTTCGAGTGAAAAAAAATTGGGGTAGATAGTTGTTGTTACTTAACACTTACCAATACTAGTTTCCAAAAAGCAAGAACTTTTTGCAGTGGTAGAATCATCCATCTAAAAAAACAGAACGAACAATCAGTGGCATACTTGACTAGAATTCAACAACTGAGTTGCGAGTAATATGTACCAATTTACTTACATGGTTTTCCTCCAGAAGAACAGATGAATTCAGAGGCACGGGCGGTGACACTGGCGAGCTCCCTAATCCACATGAATTAGCTCCTGCATTACAGTCTAGCAATGAACTAGGTGATCCATCCTCTGGATTTGGATCAATAGGGGTGATTCGAGGGGGCCTGAAACTTTTTTTCGCTTCAAGGGAAGCAATACCTTTAGATGCTAAGGAGACACACCATTTGCAAATAACACGGCAGTTTTTAAGATATACATGTTTATGTAAATCAAGACTCGATACAAATACAATCTGAATTTAAAAACTATTGTATCTCACTGGGTTATGTATGTAAGTAAAACGTAGAGAACAAGACCACCATGTCAAAGGTAGTTTCTGCAACAAAGAGGAAAAAAACAAATAGAGAGCCAAGTAATGAACAATAGGATACAAAAATAGTTGGTTAGGAGATTCTTTTGTGCAGGCAAATCAAGCTTTTTGCTTTGGCCTTCAAGCTTGAAGTTCTTCAACTGATTAGTTTGGCTATAATCCAACTCAGTGCCAGGGCATTCTTTCTGGTTAATGGAAATTCTATGAGTTAAAAAAAATAATTAAGACCAAAAAGAAATAAGCAGACACAGAACAGTGCTGAAATTCAATTAATAAACATTTCCAACAAAAGAGAAAATCTTTGAAAACTAATGAGTCTAATTGATACCTGAAATGGCAGTTTGGTTAAAGGATCAAGGTCACCCCTTGCTATGCCTTTAGCAACTTCTGGAGGTAGCATTGTATTGTTAGTTAAGGTACACAGAAAATAGATTCGCAACAAAGTGGAAATTTATGCTTTTCAGATAATAAGATTATACGACGCATAATATTGCAAGGATATGGACCAAGGAATTCAATATCTTCATCAGCACCAGCTGGTAACTCAGACAAGTGAACTAGATCTTCAGTAACAGGATCATAAACCAATTGATGCAGGAAGGTCATCATCGCTTTCTTGAAAGATTCCTCGTAAAGAGGAGGAACTGCAACAGTATTGTACTTCAAGTGCTTAATTACCTACATCAGCAAACAATTGGATTCAGTTCCTACCATATTCATTTAATGCCAGTGCCAAAATGCAGGCCCGTGAAAAGAGATTTAGCAGATTGTGAAAGGACAAGTAGAATGTGGCAAAACAATCATCTTTTTCAACATTGGATTCTTCATTCTCACCTTGTCATAACTTCTGAATTTTTTCATCAGTGCATGAGCTTTTTTGAGGCCCATCCCAGGCAAAGACTGCAAATAGTCACAACCACTCAATATGCACATCTCAAGAACCATCTGCTTTGTGAAACCAGTAAAATTTAGCTCCTTGTTCTGTTGCAGCATGGAAAATTGAAATTCGACTCCTTGCCCATACTTATCCATTTTGTAAATGATCTGAATATCCAAGCCTCCAAGGTCTTAGAGCACAAAACGAAGTATAACAAAAAGATGGTAGTGAAGGAACTAGGAAGCATGTCATAACATAAAATTGTGGTTTTCTTAATTCCTAGTAAACAATGAACAAGTGCACATAAATAACAGCCAACAGCTTACTCTAGGACAACCAAAGGCTATCAAATCCGAGTCCTCTGTTATAATTGCATCAACCTGTTTGCTGACTGCCAAAAAGGTCATTTCAGCATCTGCCTCATATGGCGCCACAACATATTGTACATTTTCCTGTTTTAAGACCTTCCATATGCAAATATGCAAAGAAAAGTAGTTAACACACAGAACTCTGGCATTACAAATTACAAAAACTATAACACTGTTCACCACTACCTGTATCAGGTCATAAGCCACTGAAGGTGATATGTCAACTGCCTTTTGGTAGAACTCATAAGCAGCAGACTGATTTCCATTAGATTCATGCTCAATGGCCCGAGAGAGACTTTCCTTCCTTATTCTGTTTTATAAATGAATACAGAGTTTGTAAAATGGTCTCCTATTTGAATAGCATGCTAAAATCTTTCCAAAAAAAAAAAAATTCTTGGTCTCTTTTGTAATGATCAATAAGAGCATATCTTCCATTATCATATACCCTTACCATTATGGAATCAAGGAATATTAAGATCATTTTCAGAACAATTTTGCCATTGCCCATTTATGCATCAAATATAAGGTGCTTTGACTAACTGAACAAAACTGAATAAAGGAAACTAGATGTAAATTGAGTATGCTGGTACCTTGCACGCTTATTCTCTTGCTCACCCTTCATTGGCAAGAAACCTCCATCAAACACCATAATAGGCTTAACACCATAATGCCGCAACAAGTTTACTCTATGCATGCAATAGCTAATGTGCCTAGCAAACATTAGTAAAGTCCAAAGTTAGATGATTATCTGATGAACATACTGCAAAGTCCTTCCTTTAAATTCCCTATTTTGCTAAAATTCCTCTGCACTGATAGCACTGAAAGAAAATGACAAAGGAAAACTATAGCCTACAACCTCAAAATTTTGATTTTATGTAATTGCACACCCATCAAGCATGCAAATAAAACAAACAAAAAAGACATTGTGCAAGGGGCAACCCCAGCAAAGTTAGATGGACTGTTAACTTGTTAATCACAATGTTCTAAGTTCGACTCCCCGTGAGAGCGGCCTATTGGCCTTCTTGACTAGTTTATCTCCTTGTGATCCTTTGTGGACTAAGGTCACAAGGAGGAGTTTACTTCGTGCACACCCTCGGATTCCTTCATCACCAAAAAAGAAGGGATTGTGCGCATAGTATAACCAATAAAACTATAACAAAACATCAGAAACACACATTTGGCGAATTTAAAACTATGCAAATCGTATATGTATGAGCATTCGAATTTGTTCAGAGATAGCAATTAAAAATGACAGAAAGATAACAAAAGCAAGAGAAAGGGAAAAACAGCAGAAACCCAGCTCTAGAGATAGACAACCCATGTTATAAATTACTCCAAATGTATAGATAAATGGAGGAGATTAAAAAAAAAAAAAAATGTACTTGGAAGTGGGGAGGCCTTTGCAAAGCTCTTTGCTGCAAGAGAGAGCGCCCTTGTGGAGCCAAGAATAGGTGTCCACGGCGACGCAACAGCCGTCCAAGTCCTTGATGTGAATGGGCACCATTATCGATTTCAACAACGGCAGCAGTCCCTGAATGCCCATCGCCGGCGACGGGATTTATTGGGTCTGAGCTGAAATTCTTGAAAATTTGTTTCAGCTGCAATGGCTGTTGCTGCCCTTCCCCAACACTAATCCGTTTCGAAGAGAGAGAGAGAGAATGGAGGGAATGGAGGCGGGAAACTTTTGGGGAACAGGAAAGATAGGGCAGAAATAATATTTTGAATTCTTACGGGGAACTAAAATTCAGATACTCCGTTAATACGGGGAAATGTTCCCAATTTTACTATTTTAATTATAGGAAAATGTTAATCACTCCTAATTTTATTATTCCTGTAATAAAATTTTAGGCATTAGTTTTCTTTTTAAAATTTTAACTCTAACTTTAACTCTACTAATGTTTATAATTTTGTCAAATCATAGAGTGATAAAATTAGGTGTGTAGCATAGTTCTTAATTAGAGAAAATTTCAATTTTGGTCACACGACTATAGAGGTCTTGTTAATTTCAGCACCTAACTTTCAAAAGTATTAATTTAGTACCTTGAGTATGTAATTTTTCTCAATTTTGGTCACTCCGGTCAATTTACCGGTCAAATTCGACCGGAAAAATTAAAAGGCACAAACCTGAGGGGCAAAAAAGTCTTTTCCTGATCTGGTCCTAATTGACCGGACCGCCTTCTTGAGCCGGTTCATCAAATTCGACCGGACTCCCGAACCCAAAGTCCAGTTCGCCCACCGGAAACCGCCGTCCTAATGACACTACAAGCGCCGCGTCGGGGCCATCTCGCCATAACACCATCTTCGACAGCATCAGCCCTGGCCTATGGCACTCTATCCAGTCAATCAAATCCAAGAAATGCTCCACGTTTGTTGCTGTAGAGATTGCCGCGTGAACATGACTTGCGATTTCAGATATGGTCCCGTGTTTCAGTTCATCCATGCCTATGTAATCTGACATAATTCCTGGAATTCTTGTCCGGCCGTCAACCAACCATCCCATCTTGCACTTGTTATGGCTTTTGTCGACGGCATTCACCATAACCTTCCATATATAAGCCGAGAATGCCTCGATTTTTGTCCGCCTCCTGCTGATTCCAATTCCATCGTCTTCTTCAGAAGCCAGTTTTTGGAAGGCAGTCCGGTCAATTAGGAGCAGATCAGGAAAAGATTTTTTTGCCCCTCAGATTTGTGCCTTTTAATTTTTCCGGTCGAATTTGACCGGTAAATTGACCGGAGTGACCAAAATTGAGAAAAATTACATACTCAAGGTACTAAATTGATACTTTTGAAAGTTAGGTGCTAAAATTAACAAGGCCCCTATAGTCGTGTGACCAAAATTGAAATTTTCTCAAAAATATTATATGTAATCCTATTTTCTACTCTCACATTTAAAATATTGATATTGATATAAACACTTTTATAGGGGTCCATATAAAGAAAATAGAGCTCGTCACATCAGGGAGTAAATTTGGGAGAGAAAGATTTGCGAGTATATATAGTATAACTCAACTTCAAAAATACTCTATCGATAATAATTACTCATTCTGTCTCATTTTATATGTCCTATTTACTATTTATTGGTCAAATCATCTCTTTATTCTTTGTTTATTTCTTTAATATTATTTACTTATTTTTAAATTTGAATTTGTTGTTTAATAGTACATTTAATGTAGTTTCTAAATATATAAATTTTGTATACTAATATTAAACTTAATATTGTGAAAAATTGGATTTAAAATAATTTCAGTCAAGTCTCGTTAATCGAACCAGACACATAAAATGATATGAAGGGAGTAATATTTAGAGCATCCACACTAGTTTAGTTTTTTTACTGTTTTTCATGATCCAATTAGGAGAGAGAGGAGAGAGGAAAAATGTAAGAAAAAAGAAAAGTCATATGACACGAAAACTATGGAAAAAAATTAAAATAAAACTACCCAGCTAACGCGCCTGGTTGAGCACCGTTATACGCGAGACACGCACGAATTGCCAACAATTCCTCTCTCTCCTTACAAAAAATCTTACATTGCAGGAGATCAAATTTGTTTCTATCTCATTCTTCTCTATCATCCATCTCACCCTGGGGCTCACAAAAAGTCACTAGTGTGGATACACATAGGAAAGAGAGAAGGGAGTAAGAAAAAGAAAAAAGCAAAAAAAAAAAAAAAAAACCTTAACGCGCTAGTAGGTGGTGCGTGCACTGCATATGCCCCGCTGGGCGGTTGCTGTGTGCAAACGCGCACAACAACTCCTTCCTCTATTTTTTTCTCTCCTTAGGACCCACAAAAAACAATTCATTTGCAGGAAAAAAACACACCCTCTCTCATTCTTCTCTCACCTCCACATCACACTGGATCCCACAAAAAAACCACAAAAAATCCATTGATATGGATGCTCTTACGCATACTCCCATTTTTTACTCAATATCTTACTCCCCACTTAGGTGTTATATTGCTTTCTTTCTCTTCTATAAATCAAATCATGACAAATGACGAAAATTTTATTCCATGAGAGTACATGTATCATTTTCCTCTCTCTCTCTCTCTCTCTCTCTCTCTCTCTCTCTCTCTCTCTCTCTCTCTCTCTCTCTCTCTCTCTCTCTCTCTCTCTCTCTCTCTCTCTCTCTCTCTCTCTCTCTATATATATATATATATATATATATATATATATATATATATATATATATATATATATAAAGTCCCAACTTTAATTTCGAATTTTTTTTTTTAGTTTAAAAAATGAAACTTTTTATTTCTTATGACATCATAAAGGGAAAAAAGCATATGTCTTTTTTTTGGCCATTTTCATTTTGATTATGTGTAATTTGGATAATAAGAAAAATTCACATTCATCAGTGGTGTAAACTAGATTAACCTATGTAATAGTCATTAAATAATTCATCAAAAAAAATATGTGTGACAAGTATTTACAAGTACTAGACAAACCTATGTGATATAGTTATTATATGGCTCACTAAAAAAACTCTCAACTTTAATTTCAATTTTTTTTTTAAGTTGAAAAATGAAACTTTGTATTTCTTATGACATCATAAAGGGAAAAAAGCATATGCCTTTTTTCTTTTTGCCATTTTCATTTTAATTATGTGTAATTTGGATAATAAAAAAAATGTACAATCATTAGCGGTGTACACTAGATAAACCTATGTAATAGTCATTATATAACTCACCTAAAACATTATGTGTGACGAGTTTGTAAACACAAAAAAGTAAACTTTGTATATATTCACAAAATTTCGTGTACAGCGTGTGTATAATTCAATGTGCAGGTACGCAATCTCTGTCTAGTCCTCTGATTCTTCACTAATATTATTTACTGAAGTGCCCCCGGGATTCAAGTAGCGTAGCCTCCGGGATTCAAATGGCGTAGCTTCCGGGGTTCAAGTGGCGTGATCTTCAACAACAAACGTCAAGAATTTAGAAACAATCAACCCTGCAAAGTTTCAAAACACATGCAATGGATTCAAGTTGCCTTAAGATCCTCAAATGCCTTTCAAAAGACTTCAAGACCTCCGAGACAGTCAATTCTGCCAAGCTCAAAATCTATTGAAGTGCCTCCAGGATTCAAGTAGCGTAGCTTCCGGGATTCAATTGGCGCGTGCCTCCGAGATTCAAACGGCGTAGCTTCCGGGGTTCAAGTGGCGTGATCTTCAACAACAAATGTCAAGCTTCGAAGCAATCAACTCTGCAAAACATCAAATTAAAGCGCCTGCAATGGCTTCAAGTTGCCTTCAAAAGGCTCAAAGATCTTCAAAGTATCTACAAAAAGGCTTCAAGTTGCTTCAAGATCTTTAAAACCTGCAAAAAATGCCTTCAATGCCTTTAATTCTTCAAGATTTTCAAATGCCTTCAAAAGAGCTCTCAAATCTTCAAGCCTTCAAGTCTTCAAGAGTTCTTCAATGCCTTAAAGCTCTCAAGCCTTCAAGTTGTTCTCAATGTATTTAAGGTGTGATTTAAAGAATGAAATTGAGGCTCTATTTATAGTGAAGTTTGTAACTAAAATCCCTCAACAAACTCCACTAATATTTATTTAATTAAATTAATTAATTATCTACTAAAAGAGAAAATTTCAATTTTGGTCACACGACTATAGGGGCCTTGTTAATTTCAGCACCTAACTTTTAAAAGTATCAATTTAGTACCTTGAGTATGTAATTTTTCTCAATTTTGGTCACTCCGGTCAATTTACCGGTCAAATTCGACCGGAAAAATTAAAAGGCACAAATCTGAGGGGCAAAAAAGTCTTTTCCTGATCTGCTCCTAATTGACCGGACTGCCTTCCAAAAACTGGCTTCTGAAGAAGACGATGGAATTGGAATCAGCAGGAGGCGGACAAAAATCGAGGCATTCTCGGCTTATATATGGAAGGTTATGGTGAATGCCGTCGACAAAAGCCATAACAAGTGCAAGATGGGATGGTTGGTTGACGGCCGGACAAGAATTCCAGGAATTATGTCAGATTACATAGGCATGGATGAACTGAAACACGGGACCATATCTGAAATCGCAAGCCATGTTCACGCGACAATCTCTACAGCAACAAACGCGGAGCATTTCTTGGATTTGATTGACTGGATAGAGTGCCATAGGCCAGGGCTGATGCTGTCGAAGATGGTGTTAGGGCGAGATGGCCCCGGCGCGGCGCTTGTAGTGTCATCAGGACGGCGGTTTCCGGTGGGCGAACTGGAGTTTTCCGGTCGAATTTGATGAACCGGCTCAAGAAGGCGGTCCGGTCAATTAGGAGCAGATCAGGAAAAGACTTTTCTGCCCCTCAGATTTGTGCCTTTTAATTTTTCCTGTCGAATTTGACCGGAGTGATCAAAATTGAGAAAAATTACATACTCAAGGTACTAAATTGATACTTTTGAAAGTTAGGTGCTGAAATTAACAAGGCCCCTATAGTCGTGTGACCAAAATTGAAATTTTCTCTTCTTAATTATATTCAGTTCGTAACCGCGTTTTGTGCCTAACTCAAACCGAAACTCTTAAGTCTTAATATTTGTGATAATAATTAAACCGCGTAGCTGAAAATTGCATCTATTGCACTTTCTATATTTAATTGGAGATATAGGAAATAACAACTTTAGATTATTCTTGAAAAATCTGGAATAGCCTAATACCAGGGCCCCCCAAGGAATAGCCTATTACTGGAAATGTTATTCCATTCGAAGCCTATTCCGCGAACTAAACGTGCCATTACAGGGCGTTTGGTTGGAGGGGGGAATTATGTGAGAAAGGAATTGTAATTCCATAGGAGTTGAATTACTAGGAATAAAGTGAGAATTTAAATTCCAGTGCTTGGTTGACAGGAATATAATTACTGAGAATTTCAATTACAATGTTTGGTATACATGGGAATTGAAAGGGAATAAGTAGTATAAAGTCCAAAATGCCAATTGTTGTTGTTAAAAGGAAAGACCAGACATTCATTTTAGGTTAAAAAAGAGAAAGGTAATTTTGTCTCATCAGTATTTTTTTTCTTCCTAAAATCCCAGGGGAGGCATGAAATTTCAATTCCTTGAAAATGGGAGAATTGCAATTCCCTCCAACCAAACTACGGAATTTAATGGCATTTGGAATTAGATGGAAATTAAGTGAGAAGGGAATTTAAAATCCCTCCAACCAAACGCCCTGTTAGAGTTTTACTACATGAATTCCTAAATTTTACTCCCACGAACCAAACGTGCCATTAGAGTTTTACTACATGGATTCCTAAATTTTACTTCCTAACAAATACTAATAAGCTACTTTTTTCACATGAGTCCCAATACAAGTGTCTACACCTAAATTTTGTATGTGAAAACAAAATTTGAAAGTAAAAAATGAGAGTATCCTTTAGTTTAATACCATCTTAGATTGGCATAAAGTAATATATTAGACTTGCTTCTTTATTCTTCTTTTTACACAATAAATATAAATCTCTTGAGCTCAAGAAAGAATAATAGGTATATTGAAATCAGAGACAAGAATGGTCTTTGAGAGAAACCAACTACATTTAACATGACAGAATATGAAATGAAGAGTTATAACATTAGGTGCACTGTATTGCATATTGGAGGACAGAACAATACTAAATTGAGTGCAACCATAGCACATTTGTAAAGAAATATGTTGCACAAAGCAAAAGACAGCAAAAACTTTGCTCCAAAATCATAGTGACCACTGGAAAACTAGCACATAAGGTCTAATACTCGGAATATTTCCCCGCCTTATCCACGACGATATCTTGCAGTTGGTTGATATGAACGTGCAGGATTGATTATACTGTGTAACGATTCTTGGCACCCCTGTCAAGTCTCTTTGCATCGTCCTACAAAAACGATACAATTACTTTACCAGCAACTAATACTAACAAGACCTTGGCATTTTGGCATGATTAAAGATAAGTAACTTACGTGAAATATGAAGCCAATTGCGTCTTTGTAATCCAGAAACTCCTTCCATTGCTTCCCAATACTAACCTGCAAATAGGAAAAGATAACAGTATGATATCTTGGCATTGTTGGATTGGCCAAAAAAGGAAGAAAATCAGAACCCCAATGGTAAAAACCCGTGAGGATAGAAGTAGCAACTTTACCATTAACAGCCAAAAGGACCTACCACAGAAATAGCAAGTTTGGAAGGAATAAAGATTTGGACATTAGTATGACAAGGATAACCACTTAAAAGCTTACGGGGATTCAAGTTGTTCAAAAGAAGGGGTCATAGTAGCAGGACAATTATAGAATAGCAGAGGAAGGGTGTACATAAAATGATAGAACCTTATTCTGGTCCAGATTCAGGATTTTATATATTTCAAAGGTATCAATTAACCCATAAGCATTTTATTTCCATTACTTATATTTGGTCACCGTAATATTTTGTTATTAAAGCTTTTAAAAAATCAACCATCCAACTTAATTTCTCAAAACAGGCATCTTAATTGCGAGTAGGATACTTCTCAAAAAAAAATAAAAAATAAAAAATTGCGAGTAGGATAATTTCATTCTAGCAAAATACCTGAGCTGCTTCATTTGCAGCATTTTTGGTCCATATAGCTATTTTTTCCTGTCTAGCACGGACATTGACCACAGCTCCACATATTTCATCTCCATGGTCAAATTGTTCTCCAATCATTGCCAACAGCTAATTGAAACGCATAATCAAAAAATTAGGGAATAAAGAAACTTAGAAATCATTCCAGAGATGTATTAACTAAATAAGCTTAACATACCGTATACAGCCAGCAGGTGTCAGATTTCCCCTTCGGAAAGGTCATTGTCCACTTTCCTCCATTAGCACAGACTGGATCTTCCCATTTTGGCTCGATTTTATTCTTGAAACAATGGAAGTCTGCCCCTACAGACAACTTGCTCGGATGGTGTATATTATTGTAAACACTGTAAGCAAAGTTATATAGGGAAACCAATTCTCAGTGGATATAGAAGCACGATTCAAAATAATCCAACCCAAAAAATCTGAAATCATCTATATTCAAATACATAAACCATCACATCTTACCTATAAGGCATTCAAATCGTTGTATCAATGTTGCGTGGCAAAGTGGTAAACACTACATATTAATCTCATGAAGGCTATTATCCGGACACCAAACAAAAACACAAAATTGAACATAAATAGTCAATTTCCTGTTTTTGCTTTTGTTTCCAATGTCCAGCCATTATAGCACCCACCCAGAGGGGGTTAAGTGACGACAAATTCCTCAAGAACTAACCAAAATTCTCCCATATGAATGCTATATTTTGAATTCTATAAATCACACCGAACAATTGATAGATCTACTCCATTTCTTTAGTTTTACAACACATAAAGTATGATCAAACCGAATAGAAATATAGGTATACAGCATACACAAACCCTAGATAATCAGTTTTCTCTGGCAATCCATATAACTATTATATTGAAAATCAAGGGCGAAAAATCGCGCATCAAAATTAAACAAAAATACAAACTAAAGAGTACCTCCAAAAATCTTCAACGGTGGAGAAAGTATAGATGGGTTGAATATTGCTGCCCCAAGTGGTCTGTTTGGACTTGGCAGAGGGGTTATCAAACCAGAAGGTCCAAGAGTTCTCTAATGGGTGCTTCAAAACCAAGCCCTTGTCGGGGTTGGGCATTTCGTTGGAATCGCCCACAATCTCCCCTTCCTCCGGCCCATCTCCCGCCTCTCCTCCGTCGCCGGGCCTGGCTGATGATGAGGACTTCTCCGGTTCCTCAGGTTTGGTTGATTTCTCGAGTTCTTCCACCATTTTCAGGGCTTGTGCCTTTTGATCCTCAGAGATTTTTGAAGTGAACGGAAAATCGCACACTGATTTCTTTCTTCGGCCTTCGAAAATGAAACTTCGCCGAGTAAAAATTATCGCCGCCTTCGTAGAGGTACTATATCAACCTAGTCTCTCAGGCTCTCAGCCCTCTATTCTTTGCCACTTTGGTCCTCATGACTGGGGGCAATTTTGTCAATTCAAACATAATTTCCATTTTCCACTTCTATCCTCAAATTTAAAAGTACCTATAATTTTTTTTAGTCAGCACCCAAAATGGTCATCGACTAAACGACGATCATCAAAACACCAAACCATCCAATGTAAAGACGATTTTCCGCGCTGATTATCCAGTTACAGAAACGACCCAATAGGCTTTAGCTTTCGCGTCTCTCTAAAATTGCAGTCATGGTAAATTCTTGGTTTATTTAATCATCATAGACTCTCAAGCACACGAATTTACTAAAAAAAATGGAAGGCTTTTTATTCAACAGTATAACATGACTTATATGCTCGTGTCAACCAATATCTATCTAGATCTATTCTAATTTTTTGAAAACGAATAAAGCGGATTGCAAAAATAAAAACAGAATTCTATCCACAAAATTCAAATATGACAGTGGATTGTCCGGGATTCGAACCCGAAACTAGTCGGATGGAGTAGATAATGTTTTTGTGAAAGTAAAAAATGGAATAAATTTACTTTCTTTAATTCAAAACCCCTCCCCAAACCGTGCTTGCATTTTGACAATTCAGTAATCCCAAAGATTGGACCTTTGACCTTTTGTTAAGGATAAATGAGTCTATTACACTCAACTACACCCCATATTAACTTACTTATAAGTTGAACAAAAGCAACTATAAACCAAAATTGAAATTAACTTGTTTTTTTTTTTTTTATTTATAAATAATAGCATAGTCCAAATGTTGTGACTCTACTTCAAAAATTCAATACTTTATATTTACAAATTTTAAAGTTTAAAACTTTACTATAAGTTCTAAAATCTGCATCATTCAAGTAAAAAAAGTTGTCTAATTAGCTGAGGTTGTCTGAAGTGCAACCAAAGATGCATACACCCCATCAGTCCTTGTCATGAGCATATCATGTGTCCCATTCTCAACAATACCTCCATTTTTCACTACTGCAATCAGATCAGCATCTCGGATCGTGGTTAGCCGATGAGCAACAACGATGGTCGTTCTGCAAACCATCACTCGGTCCAACGCGTCTTGCACTGTGCGCTCAGACTGCACGTCCAACGCGCTTGTCGCCTCGTCCAGAAGAAGGATTCTCGGGTCTTTTAGTATTGCCCTTGCAATGGCTATTCGTTGCTTCTGGCCACCCGATAACTGAACCCCTCGTTCTCCAACCGGGGTGTCATAGCCCTCGGGCAACGATGAAATGAAGCTGTGTGCATTAGCAGCCTTTGCCACTGTGATGATCTCGTCCTCGGATACTTCTTCTTGCCTGCCATAGGCGATGTTTGAACGAATCGTTTCGTTGAACAAAACGGGCTCTTGGCTAACCAGTCCCATTTGTTTCCTTAACCATCTTAGGTTGAGGTTTTGGATTTCAACCCCATCTAGGTATATGCAGCCACTGTTGGGATCATAAAACCTCTCTGTTAGGCTTATCACAGTGGACTTCCCACTGCCACTTTCTCCAACAAGGGCAACAGTCTGCAATGGGTCCAAAAGAGTAAAGGTAAAAAATTTAAGTGAGATTTGTACACTTAGGAGTAAATTGATGCATATATATGTACCTTTCCTGCAGGAATAGTCAAGCACAGATCTTTAAAGATTTCAATATCTGGCCTCGATGGATATCTAAAGCTGACGTGACGAAACTCAATGTCACCTTTGACAGTGCCCAACACAATACCTTCATTGCTTCTCGAATCTATGGCGGGTTTGTTTTCAAACATTTCAAATATAGAAGCAGCCGACTCCTTGGATTTCTTGAAGTCGGAAAAGAAAGTGCTGAACTGGGAAAATCCGGTGGATGAAAGAACTAGAGAGAAGACAACCTGCATGCAGCTTGCTCTTGTTAAGAGTCCACATTGATAAAATAAGAGAGAACATATGGATTTATAAGGCCATGGTTAGATAAGCTAATTGGTTGAATTCAATCTTTTAGTCGAGTTGAAATGAGAAACTATACACGCGAGCAACTACTCACCTTGAACACTTCATAGACCGTTGCGTTGCCATGGTTTACAAAAACCGCTCCAAGGTAGAAAGCTAAGGCATATGTGGAGTATATTATAAGATTACCAAAGCCTAAACCAGTCCCACTCAGAAGTCCAAGCTTGAAACCGTGTTTCCTTGGGGCTTTACATTTTCTTCTGTACATTTCCATTACCTCATCTTCAGCACAAAATGATGCAACAGTTCTAATACTCCCAATAGCATCGTTTGCAACCTGACTGGCATCTTCATACATCACCTGTAATGAGTTAGTTAGACATCAGATTTTGCCCAAACGTCCTTGTTGAAAAATAAAGAGTTAGGTTTATCTATAGGGTTGTGTCTGTTTATGAATAGGTGTCAGTTTATGGATAGTTACTTACAGTTATGTGTTTGTATATATATATATGTACTATGTTTCTTTGTTAGAAACAAACAGATAATATAGAATCATACTAATATATTCTATATCTTTCAGTCTTATATACATTTTCTATTCCTTGATTATCATCTTTGCTTCCGCCTAACTGGCGGGTGGTTGTTCTCCACCCGCTAGGCCATTCCATCTTCCAAATTCAACAATCCTTAATATGTAATGGATACAAAGGTAAAAACAAAATTACCTTGTCGTCAACAATGGATTTATTGAAGACCTTTGTTGTTATAAATTTATATATATGTACTATGTTTCTTTGTTAGAAACAAACAGATAATATAGAATCATACTAATATATTCTATATCTTTCAGTCTTATATACATTTTCTATTCCTTGATTATCATCTTTGCTTCCGCCTAACTGGCGGGTGGTTGTTCTCCACCCGCTAGGCCATTCCATCTTCCAAATTCAACAATCCTTAATATGCAATGGATACAAAGGTAAAAACAAAATTACCTTGTCGTCAACAATGGATTTATTGAAGACCTTTGTTGTTATAAATTCTTGAAAAGCTATTAGCGGTATAGTAGCCAAAATAATGAGAGTTAGCCTCCAATTCGCATAAAAGGCTATCGTCAAACCGGATACCAGAGTTGCTAAATTTTGAACAACCAAAGCTAATGCGTCTCCCACTATATTTCTCACGATTGAAGCATCAGTAGATAGCCTTGCACCGACTGCCCCACTGCAATAACGAAAGATTCAGAGAAGCTGGAACTTCAATTCGGAAGTATATAAATTATAACCATTATTATGCTTACCTTGTATTAGCAGGATCGTCGAACCAGCTGATATCTTGGTGAACCACCTTTGCAAAAGTCATGGAACGAATCCGCTGTATTAGTTTCGAGCCTGCAACTCCAAACAAGTAATGTTGTGCCGGTCCAGTTATCAGTGCAACGACTCCAAGAACTACGGACATAAGTGCCCAAAACCTGGAACCCTTCTTTAGCTCTTCTGGAGGTTCGAAAAAGATTTTAATAATTGTTGACATCAATAGTCCAAGCAGAGGGAAAAATACACCATGTATGGCTGCAGCAATCGACCCAACTAGCAATACTGGAATTTCGGGTTTATTTAGCGAGGCTAGAGATGTCAATGGACTAGTGTGTTCCTTGTTCTTGTCCCCTCCGATTTCTATACTTCCCTCCGATCCCAACCTGTCGTGGATGTCAACCACCCCCGTAACTCCAAAGCTAAGCGTAAGGGATGATAGATTACTTAATGACCTTATGCTCGTCGATCTCTTTAGAGACAATCTTCTGCTCGAGACAGACAGCCTCCTACTTGAACTATCCATATATTTATCGTTTCCTTTTTGTATTTCCTTCTGAGTAGTGCTGTCAACCTCTTTACTCCTTTCTTGCATCTGAACTAGCTGGGAATAAGCTCCATCGGGGTTTTTCATCAGTTCATCATGAGTTCCTGTTATTCAGTTTCAACGGGAGTATAAACAAATAAAAGAAACGATTAACATTGAAACTATTTACGAGGGTTCATGAGTAATAATGGTATTGGCTCTTTGTGATTCAATAGGTTGAGAAAGTAGTTATGAACAGATACTGCATTGTAACAGAGTCAGTATGTAGAAGCTACCTTGCTCTATGAGTTTACCGAGATGGACAACTGCGATGAGGTCAGCATTTCTAATAGTACTTAGGCGATGGGCTACAACCACGGTTGTCCTGCTTTTCATAACATTCGTAAGGGCACCTTGAACAATGCGTTCAGATTCGACATCCAAAGCACTCGTTGCTTCATCAAGAAGAAGGATTTTCGGGTTTTTCAAAATCGCCCTGGCAATGGCAATTCTTTGCTTTTGTCCTCCGGATATCTGAGTACCGTGTTGGCCTACCATTGTGTCAACCCCCTAACATAGAATCGAAGTTAGATACAGGTTAAAAGAGTTGTATAAGTGAAGATCAATTTTACCTTGGGAAGCATGTCGATAAATTTTGCAGCATTAGCAAGCTCAATCGCGTTTCTAATCTCTTCTTTAGACGCATACCCTTTTCCACATATTATGTTCTCTCGTATGCTAGTTGCAAACAAAGCAGGTTCTTGACTTACAAGCCCCATTTGTGCCCTAAACCACTTGATTTGAAATTTCCTTACATCAATGCCATCCAAATATACACCTCCACCTTGAGGGTCATAAAATCTTTCTAATAAACTAATAACCGTCGATTTCCCACTCCCGCTTGGTCCAACTAAAGCTACGGTTTTTCCACTCGGAACATATAGAGAGAATCCAGAAAAAATTTGAACGTCCGGTCTGGCTGGGTACTTGAAGAACACATCTTTCAGTTCGATTTCTCCCTTGATATCTTCCAACACAATCCCGTTAGGGTCATATGCATCGATTTGTGGTATACGCTTAATAGTTTCAAACACCTTATATGCTGCAGCTTGGCCTGCTGCAAATGCACTCAGGCAAGGAGATACCTGACCTAATGAACTGATTCACGAAAGAACTAATAGCAGTTAGGTCATAAAGAAATGAATTCGATCATTCGATTCAAATTAAAGTGATCCCCCGTGCTTACCCTCCACCCATCATAACAGCTACAAGGACACTCATGACGTCTCCACCTTCATATCCTTTCTTCAAGATCAATATAGCTCCATACCAAATGGCAAATCCATACGAAGAAAAGACAATGCACAATATAATACCAATTCCAAATCCCGAAGCCATCCCTTGCTTGACACTAGCAGCATAGGCTTCTTGAAGCTTTGTATTGTATCTTTGAATTGCTTGTTCCTCCCCGGTGTAAGACACAACCTATTGGCATCATAAAACACCACAAGGGGAGATTGATAAAACATCGGGAAAACATATGTTTTTTTTAGTACTGCTGACTCTATTACAATGCAATATATGTTCATAACTACTTTCTCAACCTACTGAAGCACAAAGAGTCAATACAACCCCCACTGAGGCTCGAATCCATGACCTCCCATATGGGAAAGCCACTTCGTGCCACTAAACCACAAGGTCATTGGTTGTATCATTGATCTTAATAGCTTACCGTTCTAATTCCCCCTACAGTTTGTTCCACCACATTTCCGGCTTCAGTATATGCAACTTGAACATTGCTAGACATTTTCGACATGGTATATATCGAAAATGCTATGCCAATTCCAAGTGCAGGCAGGCATGCAAGCATGACAAGAGTGAGAAGCCATCCTTTCACCATTGCTGCCACAAAGCTTCCAATGAATGTTGTTGCAAATTGAATAAACTTCCCAACCTGCAACATTCAACTTATTAGAAGTAATATCTAACTCAACCAACAACCACCTCCACTTCCCTTCCCGCCTTTTTTCCCCATAAGAAATTAAGATAAAAATTTAAAAAAATAAAAATAAAAAAAATCTCAGGTATACCCGAGGTATGCATAGAGTAAACCCCGCTGACCGGCTTAAACCATGAAGGCCAATGGCCCGCTCCAACCTAGGGGTATGGTTGAGTAGAAGGGACTCATCCATCCTTAACCAAAGATCAAGGGATCGATCACTGGCTTTGCGAATGGAGCACCTTTAAATCTCCAGGTCAGCTGTTCTACCCAAAAGAGGTGCCCACAATCCCCACTAGGAGTGAACTTGTAAGTTGTAACCTTATGATTGACTCAAAAAGGAAATCCCAACTTGTAATCTTGTGGTTACCAAATCAACAATCTGACTAACTTGGCTGGGTTGTCTCATTTCGTTTCTGTTTTAACAATAAAGAAAGCATCCACACAAGCATTGTTCACAAGTTCTAAAGATTGAAAAACAAATGGCATTGTTTTACCATGCAATCAGTAAATTATATTAGCAATTTCTCAAAATGAATGTAATTTCCTTTCCAAATTGGAATTATCAACTAAATTGAGGGAAAAAAAAAAAAAACAAGTACCCCATTCTACATTCAAAGTGCCACCAACTGCACCCATAAATAAAAATAAAAAACTGAAATTTCCAAATTAGTCTTTCGCTAAAGAAATGTCTGGAAGAGAAAAAGGAGTGATAAAATGAAGCTTCAGAACACAAAATGGAGAAAAGATCATTCATTTCAAGACAAAAGTCATAGCAAAAGGATATTAGTTCAGAGTTGGAACCTTATCACCAATGGCTTCTCGAATAAGTAGAATGTCATCAGACAATCTTCCAACAATCTCTCCAGTTTTAGCCTCAGTGTCAAAGAAGCCAATGTCTTGTCTTAATATGGTATGCAAATACAATTCTCGGATCCGGGCTGCCTGCCTTTCTGCTGTAGCCGTCCAGCATGCCATCTCTGTAATTCACGTCCATCTTAATTTCATAACATATTGTATAAATAATAAAAGATTAATGTTATATATATAATCCTCATGATGGGTTTTTTTTTTCATATTTAATTAATAAGTTTTTTTTTTAAGATAGATGGGATAAGCTAATTCAAGTTAGGTTTTTTATTGCCATAACAAGAAGAGAAATTGGGAGAGAGAAAATGAAATTAGTCATCATAACTAAATAGCAATTTTACATTTCATTATGAATTTACCTATGGGTTCTTTTTATATTTCATTCATAAGTAAATTCTTAAAAGAAAAAAAAAAATTGTTCATTATTTTAGTGCACTCTAACTTTTCCTATAAGAGCAACATTATTGAAAGTTTTTGTTTTTTTCATTATAAGGAAGGGAGATACCCTACATATACACACTATTGCCTCAACTAAGATTCGAACCTTACACCTCCCACTTAGGGGAGCAACCCGATACCAATGGACTACAAGCCACTTGGTTTATTGAAAGTTTTTGTTGATGTGGAAAAAAGAAGATTTGGATTCTTTTGCTAAATCAAAATTCTTGTCGTAGTAATAATAACAATAATAATAATAATTATTATTATTATTTTTATTATTATTATTATTACTCCGTATTATTATTGTTATTATATTACTCCGTATTATATAAGGCAAGTCACGCATGTACATGACTTGTGCAGCCAATGAGCGCGTCAATAGTGACCACCCTAAATTTTCCTCATCCCCTTCTCATAACAAAATCCAAAAAAATAATAATAATAATAATAAAAATAGTGTTGTAAAACTCGACCTATGTTCTCTTAGGCTAAAACAATTTAGACATTAGTTGTCATTTTAGTTTATAAATTTATTAGATAGCCTACTTGCCTAATTTTGTTTAGTGTTATTTCACTCAAAACGACATTGTTTTGAGCAAAACAACTCTAAAATTTGTTAGGTAATAGGCACACAGGGACCAAATCGTAAAATCAAACATAAACATAGAAAAACTTGAGATTTGGAGACGTCATCACCCAATACCATCATTGCCCAACTTGCGAGTTGCAATGACGATATTGATAACGACAACAACCCATTGCCGCAGTTTGAGAGACTGTCGAAGATGTCATCACCTATCGTAGTGTCGTAATTCTCGCAGTCTTGCCATCACCGCTCACTGAGTCCTCACCTCCACAGTTAGCTCGGTCAACTATCGTCTAGGATTTTGAGACTTTTAACTTGTACCTTTTTCACTTTGGAAGTTTTTACCTTTTTCATTTCCTACTTCGGAGTTTTCAATCTTCTAGCACTATTATTATTATTATTATTATTATTATTATTATTATTATTATTATTATTATTATTATTATTTGACTTTTTGGATTATTAATAATTATTACGGAGTATAATATTATTTAGGAATAAGGGTCAAATAGGCCATCGAACTGCACTCAATAATACAATTAGGGCACCGAACTTCAAAAAGTTACAATTGGGTCCCTGAACTAACGAATTCTATTCAATTAGTCTAATTTGTAGGTTTCCAAGTTGTTAGCAGGTTACCCCTTTTCAATTTTTTTTTAATTATTATTTAAAATAATTATTTAATATTAATAATTAAAAAAAAAAAAAAAAAACAGATTGACACGCCAGAGACGAAGAGTTTCTTCGTCTCCGGCCATGGAGACGGAGTTAACTTCTTCGTCTCTGGCCGGAGACGAAGGAACCTTCTTCGTCTCCGGCCAGAGACGAAGAAATTAACTCCGTCTCCATGGCCGGAGACGAAGAAGGTTTCTTCGTCTCCGGCAGAGACGGTATCTTTTTTTTTTTTTTTTAATTTTAATTTTAAATAATAATTTTTTAAAAATATTATAAATTAGGGGTGACCTCCTAACAACCTCCAAAACCTACAAATTGGACTAATTGAATAGAATTAGTTAGTTCAGGGAGTTAATTGTTGCTTTTTAAAGTTCGATGGCCTAATTGCATTATTAGGTGCAGTTTGATGGTCTATTTGAACTTTATTCCTATTATTTAATTGCTACCTATCTAACTGAAGGTATACAATAAAATACAAAAAATATTGTTGTTTTACTTTAACGCCTAAGTACTAGGCGCCCATCCACGGCGCTTAAAGCATCCTTATCAGTTGTGATTTTTTATGAGTTATTTGTGGGCCTCAACATCCACCTCATTCTCCACTATCTCACTCAATCATAAATAACTCTTCTTCACATTAATTTTAAGTTTTTTTATGAGTTATTTGTGGACTCACCGCTATCTCACTCAATCATTCAATCTGACATTATTTTTTCATTTGCAGGAAGATTCTTTTTGAATTATCTCATTCCCACATCAGCTTTGCTTTTCACTTGAGAGAATTAATTCTGACATTAACTCCCAGATTTTCTCTATAGTGGATGCTCTTAGTGACTCATACAATATTAAAGAAAAACTGATTACCATTAGCCTTGCTTTAATTGATCAAGATAAGGAACAAACTTATATAATTAATCAAGATAAGGACGTTACGGCACTTACGTGTACTCTCTCTCGTCTCTATCTAATTAATTACCCCTATTAACCAAGTTTAGTGTTTAAGAATATGGAAGCATTTGAAGTCAAACTTTAATTATGAAACCATTCTGTATTGCGGACACTTGTACTGCTAAGTGCATGTACAAATTTGACTTAAATTTTAGGTATTAATTACCTAATACTGTCTTAATTTAAACTTGTTTAACTTATCTTCTGTATTGTATTTAAAGCAAATCGGAATGGTATCAATTAATACCTTAAAATTTTTTATAATTGCTTTCAAAAAAGTTTTTTTTTTTAATTATAATTTTGTAATAAGATATTAATGTTTTATCGGAAACATGAGTACGCGACATGAAAAAATAATAATAAATAAATAAATAAATAAATATATATATATATATATATATATATATATATATATATGTGTGTGTGTGTGTGTGTGTGTGTGTGTGTGTGTGTGTGAGAGAAGAGCAAAAGCCAATGAACTTACGTGTAAAAGAACCAATACCACCACCAACAGCAACGTAAAAGAATTTAAGGGATACCTGCATTTCAATTTAACATATATATATGATTATTGAGTAAGTCTTATGTGAAATCGGCTCACATGATACATTTAATATTTTTAAATTAAAATATAATATTTATGTATAAACTTATGAAAATATTACATTTTAACTAAAAAAGAATTATTATACAGCTCACATAAAATAACCTACTAATAGTTATTTCATTTGCAGTTAAAAAAAAAGAGTATGTAGTAAATTATCAATTACTCAAATAAACAACCTAAAATTCATAAATAATAATAAGAGAAAATTTTATTTGTAGCCTCTTTTTTTTTTTTTTTTTTTGAAAGCAAACACAAAAACAACTGCAACTCAAGAAAGCATGAACAAAAGTCAGAGGTTAACCCTCCCACGAATAAGGACCAACATGAGGACCAGTTGTTTTAGCAAGAACGTGAGCAAGCTGGTTCACTAATCGACAAATATTTCAACACGACATGCACCTAAAGTGTTCATAATAACAGGACAATCATTAACAATAGAACCAACCTAAGAAAGACATGTCCAATTTTATTTGTAGTCTCTTAATTATTCTCTTATAGTACTCCATAGTTTTTAGTTTTAGTGATTTTTTTTTTTTTTTGGTCATTGTAATACACTCCTTAACTTATAAATAAGTTGTAGTTTTAGTTCAAAGAGCAACAAAATCAGTAAAAATACGTTACAATTTACTTAGTACATGTATATTTGAATAATTTCTTATTTTTCTTCTTTATGACATTCAATTTTGATATTTCATCTCAAAACTGAGAATTAACAACCAACATCCCTAAATTTTTCCTTTTCAATTGCAATATATCTTCCTTAAAACTTTTTTTCTTACACAAACCTATTAAATTTGAATTTACTATTTTGCATATAAAATACAAAAATTGAAGAATTATAACGGAAAAAAAATCATAATAAATTACAAAATAGCTATGTACTAAGTAAAACAATAATGTATTTTAAGGATTAAAATTGCAATTTATTTGAAAGGTTAGGGAGACATTGCAACGAAAAAAGGTAATGACTATAATGACAAGTAAATAATAATTGAAAGACTAAAATGTATTTATTTCCCTAATAGCAATAACACAATAAAATTCTTGTCGTCATCATTTAGATTTTGATCAAATAAACAGAGACTTTTTTTTTTTTAATTGTTCATAAAAAAATTATTAGATATGCAGGTTAAATGTAAGTATGCAAATTAATATCGATAAAAATACTTTCAATTTTTTTGAGAAAAATGGTCAAATGCCCATCTAAGTTAAAGGAATATTGCAATTGAACCCTTAGTGGAAAAAATTATATATATTCAAACTCACTAAATATGATTCAACTTGTTTAGCCATGTGTTTTTTTTTCCCTTTTAGTGTATGTTTTTTAATTTTTTTTTTGTTTAAATTTTAATTTTTAAAAAATATAGTCACTAACTATTTGAAAACAACCACGACTATTTAAAAATGGCAATCATGATCGAATGAGACAGCCATGATTATCTTCCCGATCTAAAACAAGGGATCGAAGACAATCATGATTGCTACCTTAGTTTTAGACTATTGAAATAGATGACAATTATGGCTATTAGAAGCATTCATCGGTATTCTCATTCGACAACTGGGGGCTGTATTTAGAAATTTTAAATAAAAACACAAATTCATTAAAAAAAAAAAACGATGTTAGTAAGTATTAGCAATTTAAACATACATATTTATTTCATATAACATCTAATCCTATATATATATATATATATATATATATATATATATATATATATATATATATATAAAGGGGTGGGGTGTGGGAGTGGGGGGAGCTGTCACACTGCCCCCACACTAGCTAGGTCTCTGGTTACATTAGAACTCAATTAAACATTTTTGTCGATTTAAAAAATTTAAATGATTATTTTTTCATTTGGGAGCTCAATTACACTATTCATTTGAATTAGAAGACGAATTTGACATTTTATGTAATGTATAGTTTTGATCAATTTAGTTTCAATAGTAAGGAGAAAATCTCCCATACATGCGTCTATGAACAGTACAGTTTTGCATACTGAACTTTAATTTGATATACCTTGGAAACGTTAGCAAGAACGTCATCGCTACCAATCGATTTGGCGAAAGCGTTAATGACATCGCCGAAGAGAAACGAGACGAGAGGTTGCGCCGCCCCAATGGCGACGGCGCCTAATGCTCCGACGATCATCAACGCTACATCAACCCTATCCGCAAACCCAAACACCTTGTAGAAAGCCACTTTCTCATCTTCCGATGGTTTCCTCCTCGCCGGCATCTCTCCACTCTCCGCCATTTTCACCTAATAGTTAGTACAGTCTTTCTCCAAGCTAAAGCTAGTTTCGAACTAATCTTTTGGTCTGAAGCACAAACGAAAATATACTGCGTATATATATACACACACATGCATGCACGGCTATTGCACGCCAACTGTTTGATATTTGCTTTCTTTAAGTAAATAGGTTTTAGTACTCCTAGTTGGGTGCCAAACTTGTAGATGGTACGAATTACGATCGAGTGAGGTTACACCGGCGAGCTATGGTATAGTAGACACTAGGATAGATGGTCCATTTTTCATTCATTCCATCGCCTAACTTCTATCAAACATTCAAACAGCCAGTTGTTTAGTATTGACCACACGGACAGTTCAATTAATACACGAAATAAAATATCGACTACACAGACAGTTTAATTAATACAGGTGTCAAATTGTGTAAAGACTGAAAAACCTAACAGTCACAGAGTAAAGATTACATTGAATGTGGTGGGCTCTGTAATTTATTTCTACACATTGTAAGTCACAAGATAGAGATTATGTTGAATATAATGACGTCTGTAATTTATCTCTGTACTATCTTATCAGGTCAGCAAGAATGGGTAATTGACCTTTTTTGGTGCTTATAATTAGGGGAATTGAGTCCACTATAGTGAATAATTTCATGAAATGCAATTCTAATTTAAGAATGTACTTTTTTCCCCAAAAGATTGTAATAAGACAATTAATAATAATCCTCCAACACAAATACAATCAAATGCTAGGATTCCCAAAATAGTAACTGGTGTTTCTATGGATGTTATTCCAAGAATATAGTTGTTCAAAGGTGTTTGAAGAGATCTTAGAAAGCAAGAGAGACATATTTTGCTTAAGTTGCACCTATATGATGGGAGACCAAGGAAGCATAAACTCCATTCTCAATATTCATTAGCACCTCATGACTTCCCTCTTCAGCAATCACTCCGTTCTTGATAACCGCAATTGAATGGGCCCGCCTGACCGTGGCTAAGCGATGCGCGACCATAACAGTGGTTCGGTTCATTATCACCCGGTCCAACGCCTCTTGCACCATTTGTTCACACACGGTTTCCAGTCCGCTTGTAACATCATCCAGTAAAAGGATTTCTGGGTTTTTCAAGATTGCCCTTGCAATGGCAATTCTTTGCCTTTGGCTGTCCGAGAGTTGTGTTCCTCTTTCTCCTACACGAGTGTCATAGCTTCGAGGCAACGAGCAAATGAATCTGTGGGCATTTGCCATTTTCGCTGCCTTAACAATCTCGTCTTCGGTTACAGTCCCCTGTTTGCCATACGCAATATTGTCACGAACTGTCTCGTTGAAGAGTATTGATTCTCGGCTCACTAGCCCCATCTGTTGCCTTAGCCAACTTAGCTTTAGTTCCCCGAGAGGAACCCCGTCCAATAATACTGCTCCAGACTCGGGATCATAGAACCTTTCAATTAAGCTAATCACCGTTGATTTACCACTTCCACTCTCTCCAACGAGAGCACATACCTTTAATAAAATCACGTAATTAAACCCTTACTTAGTACGTCGGGCATAATGTAGACGAAGAATATGCAGTAAATTGAAATTTATTGAAAGTACCTTTCCAGCAGGAATTTTCAGGTTTAAGTCCTTGAAGATTTGGATATCTGGGCGAGTTGGATACTTGAAGCTCACATGATCAAACTCGATCTCTCCCCAAACAATAGGTAAAATCTTGCCTTGTTTGCTACTAGAGTCAATCTTGGGTCTTCTATCAATCATGGCAAATATAGAAGCAGCAGATTCCTTAGCTTTGTTTACATCTGGAGCCATTGCATATGCTTGAGAAATTCCGACACTTAACATTGTCATTGCATAGAAAACCTGAACACAGTACTATCTTTAGTTTTTGGATCAAAGAAGATACATGGAAATAGACCATAATTGCAACCACTTTTTTCGAACAAAAATCTCATATTTGGGTTAGATTTTGCTTCTTCCACCCCCCCCCCCCCCCCCTGGTAGTTTTGATACCTTTAAGACTTCGGAGAATGTTGCTTTGTCATGTTGAACCAGAACAGCTCCAATGTAGAAAAAGAAAGCATTTGCAAGATATAATGCCAGAGAACCAAAAGCAAAGCATACACCATTGATAATGCCAACATGAACTCCCTGTGTCACCGGGACTTCACATTTCTTCAGATACATTGCCACCACTTTCTCTTCCGCACAAAAAGATGCCACAGTTCTTATACCACCAATCGCTTCACTTGCAATTTGACTTGCTTCTTCATACATAACCTATAAAGTACTTATGAATATCAATAACCTACTAAACATTTTATATATGTGCATATGGTTTATAATCAAGATGTAATTATGCACAATCATGGCTCTTGTTTACCCCATGCCTCCAGAATCTATCTAATCAAATATTTACCAAAAGTACAATTGTATTGGCCATTAATGAAAATAATAAGTAGGATTTTGAAGGAAACCTTAGGATCCACACGGAATCCATTGGATAACCATATTTGCACTAGCAAATCTGCAGACATTAATGGCAAAACACAAACAATTATGAGTGCTAAAGCCCAATTGGCATGAAAGGCTATAATCAGGCCTGATAGCACAGTAGCAATGTTTTGGACAAGTAGTGCTAAGGCGTCGCCTACAAGGCACCGAACAGTGGAAGCATCAGCAGATAATCTAGCCCAAACTGCATCGCTGCATTAAAAACAATATAATATATTTGAGATTGAGTTGACAAAAGTAGTTAGTTTTGTTTAATATATATATATATATATATATATATATATATATATATATATATATATATATATATATATATATAATTAAATGGGTTATAAAGATCAGGAGTTATTACCACATGGGGTCCTCCGAGTATATTGGTTTTGCCACGTTTAGTCCTAAACTTTCAAATTGACCATAAGTGGTCTCCAACTTTCAAATTTAACCATTTGTGGTCAAAGTTAACCACCCATGTTCCTTTAACTTTGAAAATTTAACCAGCCATAGTCCTTTTGAAAGGACCATGGTTGGTTAAAATTTAATAGTTGAAGGACCATGGGTGGTTAAATTGGACCACGAATGGTTAAATTTGAAAGTCGAAGGACCACAGATGGTCAATTTGAAAGTTTAGGACTAAACGTGGCAAAACCACTATACTCGGAGGACCTCAGATGGTATTTACTCTAAAGATCAGGGTACCTTGAGTTTGTAGGATCGTCAAACCAGCTGATGTCTTGGTAGATTACCTTCTTGAATGCCAAGGACCGAATTCTTTGAATTAATTTCCCTCCCACAATTCCAAAAAAGAAATTCTGGATAGGTAAAACTAGGAAAGTAACTAGACCTAGGGAAAGACACATGAGTGCCCAAAATCTGGAATCTTTAATCATCTTTGATGGTGGTTCAAACAAAGCTTTAATAGCCATGGAGATAATGAATCCAAATACAGGTAAAATTGCCCCTTGAATACATGCAACTATTACTCCCAGCACCAAACATGGAAGTTCTGGTCTGTTTAGAGCAACAAGCCGCTTAATAGAAGTAATTTTCTGTTTCTCCATATTTTTTTCATATGCTTCTTCTTCTTCATTTTCATAATCATTTCTGGTTTCAGGTTCCCAAATGTTAATTAGACCAGGTATCACATAGCCAAATGTGATAGAATGTCTTGACGACGAAAAGCTCACTGATCTTCTCATTGCTGCAGATATTCTCTGGCTCGATGACCAAGTAAACTCATCTGAATCCATCATAGTCCTTCGCCTCTCGAGTGAAACCACTTGTTGTGTATTGTGTTTTTGCTTACTTTCTTGTTGCATTTGGACTAGTTTGGTATATGCCCCATTAGGATCTTGCATCAATTCATCATGAGTTCCTAGGTTCCATTTAGAAATATATATGTAAACCATTATGACATATGCTTTCCATATTAAACATACTTACAACGAGATATTGCTATTATATATATGCACTTTGTTAATTCCATACCTTGCTCCACAAGTTTTCCAGATTGCAGGACAGCTATGAGGTCAGCATTACGTATAGTTGTCAAACGATGAGCGATAACCACAGTTGTTCTGTTTGATATAAGATTGTTGAGTGCATCTTGCACCATTCGTTCTGATTCTGCATCCAAAGCACTTGTGGCTTCATCAAGGAGGAGAATCTTTGGATTCTTTAGAATTGCCCTCGCAATTGCTACTCTTTGTTTTTGTTCATCTGATAACTGCATTCCATGCTCGCCAACCATGGTATCAAGCCCCTAGATAAAACGGAATTTCCAATATTATTTTTGCAGCACTGATTAAAAATATCACTCCATAAAAGAAACAACAATGTCTGTACCTCGGGAAGTTCATCAATGAAGTTGGCAGCATTAGCAATTTCTAACGCTGTTCTTATCTCCAAATCGGTAGCATTTTCCTTGCCATAGGCTATATTCTCTTTAAGGGTAGTTGCAAATAGGATAGGTTCCTGACTCACTAATCCCATTTTTTCTCTTAACCATTTGAGCTTGAATTTCTTTATATCGATGCCATCTATCAGTACTTCTCCTGCATCAGGATCGTAAAACCTTTCCAGTAAACTTATGACACTCGACTTGCCACTTCCACTTTGACCTACCAGAGCTACAGTTTGGCAATTTGGGATGTGCATTGATAATCCAGAAAAGATTTGCACATCTGGCCTTGCCGGATACCTAAAATACACATCTCTTAGTTCAATTTCACCTATCATGTCATCCAACTCAATACCTCCCATATCAGATGCATCAATTTGCGGTGTGCGATTTATTGTCTCAAATATTTTATAAGCCGCAACTTGCCCTGCTGCAAATGCACTTAGATACGAGGATATTTGGCGTAGTGCCCTGAGAACATTAAAATCCAAATATTTATGTTCTGGGGTTATATATAAGTGATGAGAAAGTTATAAATAACAGATTATGGCACTTACATTCCTCCAATCATAATGGCTGCAAGGGCACTGACTACATCTCCCCCATTGTATCCTTTATCTATTATCAGCCTGCTCCCGTACAGAAAGGCAATTCCATAAGTACTGAACACTACAAGTAAAAGAGCACCAGCTCCTCCACCAGAAGCCAGACCTTGTAGAATTTTATATCTGTAAGCAATTCTAATGTTGTTGTTGTACTTATCTATTGCTTGTTTTTCTCCAGTGAAGGAAGCAACCTATTAAAAGCATATAACCCAAATCGAGAAACTTTTCAGAATCTTATAAATATATTATTATAACAAGTTTTAACATCTATATCACAGCAATGCTTTTACCATTCTAATTGCTCCTATCGTCTGTCCTACCACGTTTGCAGCTTGTGAATAAACAACTCGCATGTGACTTGACACCTTAGAGTTGATCAACGCCATGATTCCTCCAGGAATGGCATACGCAGAAAGACAAGAAGACAGAACTAATGAAAGAAGCCGTCCTTTTATGAAAGCAATTGTGAAGCTTCCAAGGAAAGTTGAGATATATTGGATGAATTTCCCAACCTATTATAACCAGTAATTAAGGGGTAAAATTTTCTTTAGCCTTTTTATTTCTTCCATTCTTGTGTAGAAATAGGTAAGAAATTTACCTTTACACCCATTACTTGTTGAATGATATCGCCAGACATTCTACCAATCACCTCTGCAGTTGACATTTCAGTGTCAAAGAAGGCAATATCCTGTCTTAGAATTGCTCTCAAATACAATCCCCTCATACGGGCAGCTTGCCTTTCTCCAGTAATTGTCCAACACAACATTTCTGTAATGTATAAAAGATGTGAATTATTCAAGAACCATATCTGAAAGCATAAAAGTATGAAAATAGGTATTTTCAGAAATCTAGTTTACGGAATTTCTTTTCCTCTCTAGTTTTTGTTTCTCTCTATCTGTTAGTTCAAATATATCATTCCTTTTAGTTCTGCAAGAGCATCTCCCATTACTTTTCTAAGCTCCAAAACCTATAACATTGTTGTTTCAACTTTGAGCTCGAGAAGCTTCTCCAACTTACAGTTGCAGCCCTTTTAAGTAAATTATCTAAATTTAGAACGCCAGGAATTAGCATTAACAGTGCACCATAAATCAGCATTAATAGAAAAAATGCACTTACGTAAAACTGAAGCAATGCCCGCATAAATAGCAAGGCACACAAAATCAAAGCAGACCTGAAAATGTAATGACATTGCAAGATGTTATGCTTCTGGTTCACATACAACAACAGATTTTCATGCTTTGAAAAAAAAAAATCCATGAATTCCATGAAAAAAAAAAATCCATGAATTCCAACCAATCCTCAAATAACAAGGGAACATCAAAAGTCATCGCTGACAAGTGACACTGCACATTAATATTCATCTTCATTTCAAAACTTACACTATTGTTTACCAGATATATTAGCTACCTCATCGTATAAAGAAAATAATTAGTTGTGGTTGACAATAACAATATTCTCAAAAGTATGGATGGAAAAGTTGTTTAAATCACTATGCAACAAGTCAACAACAAAAGGAAAATTCATTTTACCAGGAATTGTGGAGATTAAATAAACACAGAAGCATGCTGTTGGGAGTGGGATGGTTAGAAGTTGAGCTCCAACCACCACCCAGCATACTTTAATATCCGTTACACACTTTACACACTTTAATATCCATTACATATCCTAACCAATCAAGGGTGTGATTTTTAAAATCCATATCCAACCAGCAAGAAATACATACATTTGTTTAACGAACAATAAAGGTGAAGAATCACTAATATAATAATAAAAATTAATAGAACTATATACCAACTAATATGAAAACAATATTAAAAACCACAACTACTAAAATATTAATATAAATTTATGCACAATCAAATATTTACTCTATCTCAAACTCTTAATTAGAGATACTTTTACTCTATCTCAAACTCCTAATTTTTCTCATCCACCACCAACCAATCATTATACTATTATAGTAACCCTAATGTCGTGCAAGTCGAGTGTGAGAAGTCAAGCAGATGTGTCTGATGGAAATTGCCAATCCCATATAGCATGATTATATAAGATCAAGAAAAAGAATGGATTTCTAAAACATGAAGTAAATAAAATCAAAGAAACTTGATATACGCATATAATACCTTTGAGACTGTATGAACAAGATGTGATTGATCCACCTTGGCAAAAGAATTTATTAGCTCACCAAAGATGATGGACATGAATGGTTGTGTCAACCCATTGGCCATGGCAGCTCCTGCTCCAATGATCATCAAAGCAAGATCAAACCTATCTGCAAATGAGAAAAGTTTGAACAACGGGACACTTTGATCTTCAGCTCCTTTCTGATCAAAGGTTTTCCTTGATTTTTCTCCATCCTCAGTGCTCATCTTGTTTGTAAGACTACTTGTTTTCCTACAATCCTTTCGTTCTTGAACTTAATAGCAATAGAAAATAACTACACTAATATTTATAGGCAAAACCGCAAAAGGAGTATTGGGTGGGAATGGGGGGGTGGGGGGGGATACCGATTGGACACTAATCACCGCTATCAGCAGCAGTCTGCAACACATCGTCTTCCTTCAAGAAGACACAAATTCCCTCCGGTGGATAATGGTACTGGATCCATTCGCAATAGTTTCTCGGGTGCTTCTCTTGCAAGCCAATTGGCAGCGCCGTTACACTAATATTTAAGCACAATATTAAAGTAGGGAAACATTAACAATGCATTTAATTCACCGTCATTGTGCAATGTGCATTACTTTCAATTGAATACTCCCGTAATTCACAAGATTATCAATCATAAATATTGTTGAAAATTAATGTATAGAAACCATTCAATTGATCATATATAGAAAATTTTTAAAACACATCCAAAAACGGAAATTTAGAGGAAAAATATAGTACTAAACCTGACAGTTGCAACTCAGATTTAATGCCAGGAAAGGAAAATCAATTTATATAGCAATTTAATTACGAGTAGTAACTTGAATAAAATTTGAACCAATTGTAGCTTGCTTATATTTAAGTACAAAAATTACACACAAATCATAATCAAGAAAGGTAAATAGGTAATTCTAACTACGGTACATGAAGTCTAATATTATGACTCACTTCTTTTCGATTAAGAGAAGAGTAAGAAAGGGATATAGATACAAATTTGATATCTATCTACTGTATTAGAATAATTATTAGTTTGATTGCCTGTTTTGGTATTTAAGGCAAATATTATTCTACTTACTATAATACTGTAATTACTATATATGCAGATACTGAGTACTTGAGAAAATAATTTACTTACTATAATGCTTTCCTATATAGAAAAATGCCACCATCCGTACAATACTTATTATTATACTTGTGGGGCATGATAGAATTTCCCTCCTTTCATATTGTGCTTAAATTTTTTTTACCTTTCCAGTAAACATTCATTGGAGGCTTAAATTTCTTAAAATTGATACCATTTATCAGTACGCCTCCCACATCATGGCAATTAAACATTTCCACATTCCAGTGAACCATAATAGGGATGGCAACGGGGCGGGGGCGAGGAATGGGGTCCCCGTCCCCGTCCCCGAAATAGGTCCCCGTTCCCTGTCCCCGCGGGGATTTTTTGGGGACGGGGAATCCCCGCCCCGTTTTTTGAATGATGCCAATGAAAAAAAAAAAAAAAAACTATATTATCATACTATCAAAATCATACTATCATATTTTAAATTGTTAAGTCTTGAATCATTAAACAAAATTATAAATACTAATCAAAATTAATTACTAATTATTGAACATATAAATTACAAAATAAACTACTCTACGTTAGCTACTGCCTACTGCTATGCTTAATAGAAAGGTTTTAAATGTTTTGTTTTCAAGTTTATATATATATATATATATATATATATAATATTATACGGGGATTTGGGGATTTGGGGATTCGGGGCGGGGCGGGGAATGCCCTCCCCGTCCCCATCCCCGTCCCGTTCCCCGGGGGCGGGTTGAATTGCCATCCCTGAACTATAACATTTGGCCTTCTACTTCCAATCTATCCAAACAGGGCTATAGTTGGTACTTGGAAAATATGTGAGAACCTGGAAAAAGATTTGCATATCTTTTCATTCACATCATTTAGTTCAATTTAATCCTTGATGTCTTCCAACTTAATACCACTAGAATTGGATGCATCAATGAATGGTTTTCGATTTATAGTCTCAAACATTTTGAAGTCTGCGGCTTGCCCTGCTGCAAATGCACCTGCAGATGGAATTGCTTGACAAGGAGACCTGAGAATGTTAGTATAGAGAGAAAGGAAAAGGCAAAGAGTTATATTTGTGGTTAAAGAACGTAATTGACAGATTCAGAATGATTCTTAGTGGAATGTTATTGTTCTTGCCGGCCATTCAGACATTGATCACATCTCCTTTGTATCCATTGTTTATTATCAGAAAGGTAACATACCAGTAAGCCCATAACTACTGAAAAGAACTATAACCATGTCCAAACCTTCACCAGAAGCCAGCCCTTGCAGGATTATGGACTTATAAGCAATTTTCATTAGCAGTCATACTTTTCAATTGCTAATTTTCCTCTGGTGAATAAATCAACTAATAAAAGCATAGCCAAGAGTTCAATAACTTATAGCCAATGTATAAAGCATAACAATTCTAAATTTCTAATATGCGGTATTCAATGCTTTATAGTAATAACTCCTCCTATTGTCTATCTGATCCTCTGCAACATTCCAGCTACTGCATAAGCAACTTGTCCATGATTTAATATCTTCAACATGATCTGCTATATAAGCAATAAGACATTTCTGTAAAGCACTGCAAGTGTGAATTATTCAAAAGCCTTATTACACCCCTTAAGATCATGTAAGTTCCGCACTTTTATGTTCCACTCCTTACTGCAAATTACCCAGATTTAAAAGATCTTTTCTGTTGAGCATGGCTAAAAGGACAGAAATTTGCATAAATTATGTGACAAAAATCTAAGGCAGTGAACTTCCAATGCTGTGACAACAAATATTGACAAATTGTATCAACTCTTGGTCAAATTTTCTCCTATATTTATATCCTTGGGCAAATAGCAATGTCATGATATTTGTGATGCAGCAGGCAGTACCAAAGGGGAGACATTGTCCCCAATAGTATACCATACTTGATGGGTATCTGAAAATGACATGGCAAGATGTTATTGCATATTCTCCACAATCAAAAACACATACTTTTGTACCCCAAGAAGTTCTGCTGCACACAATCCAATCATTGGTTATATAGAGTGCCCATCTTTTTTCTTTTTTTGAGTGACAAGGGAAACTCTCAGTCATTACCCAAGAGTGTACATTGGATAGACTACGCATTGTAACCCTAGCCGGCAAAGTACCAAGAAAGTAAACTAGACTAAATTGCCCATAGTTAAACGGCTCAAACTAAGTCCGATGGTGTGTACTGGATAAATCCCATGTGATTCTAGTTGGCAAAGGACCATAAGGAGGTAAAACTACTTAGATTGGCCATAACTGACCCGTTCAAACTAAGGAGAACAATAGGTCACTCCCACTAAAAGTGAACCCGTAAACTTGTGGTTACTAGCAACAATGTTACCAATTTGGCTGGGGTTGCCCTGCCCAGCATTTTTATCTTCTAATACACTATGGGAGTACAAGTAGCATTTCACATACCCCAAATCCAACACAGTGCTAGAATTTATCAGATATATAGAAAAATAGTGAAATATCCCCTTTTTGCTTCTTCTGGAAAATAAATAATCAACGACTTTGTTCACACCTAAAATGGGAAAAAAATTGAGTACTGATAAAAGGATAGAGAGTAATTGTAAGTTAGGGATAAGATTATCACTTGTCAGTTTTCAGACTAGCACGAGGATAAAAATAAATAAATAAATTATAGACGGAGATAAGAACTGAGCTTAGCGAACTAGAGCTTTGTCGTCATCCATTATCCGCCGGAAAGAAGGGCGACGGACCACGACAACCAACCATACGGCCATACCTCCGCCGGCCCCGCCCCTGGACGATGACGAGGTGATCCGAAGGCTTCAAGCCATGGCCCATGACCAGAAAAGGACAGGCCCAAGTATAAAAATGGGCTCTTTTTTTAAAAAAAAATTATACAAAAGGAAAGAGCATTTTTTTTTAAGTGTGCTTACTAATTGAATAAAGAAACAAATAATGGCCTTACATCCGATCCAACTCGTGTTATTGACTCTTTGTGTTTCATTAACTTGAGAAAGTATATTGTGTTGTTGACTCTTTGTGCTTTTGAACAAACACAACATAATAGAGTCAGTAGCATTAAAAAAAAAATTGTTCTCTATTTTTATTTTTTTATTTTTATTTTTATATTTTATATTTTTCTGTTTAGAAAACTTGTTTACTAATACTCATTTTTTTTTACTAATGTTTTAAAATTTATACAAGTTCAATTTTTGAGTGATTTTTAGACCCCCTTATATTTAAAATATTTTTGGATATATTTGTTTTAAATGGAATAAATATAAATTTTACTTTGAAATTTAGTATATGTAAAATTTCAATATTCAATATCCGGACCAAACTTATATTATGATATAATAATATAATTAAAAATATCTGAACAAATAATCTATTTAGTCTAGTTAAAATCCAAAACTTGGTTTAAAATTCACGTTTTAATTGTAATAATGTGAATAATGTCTAACTTTAAATCTGTCTATCTAGCCGGGGCTACCGACCGGATAGTCTACTCGGACTGCCTGACTGGGTACCCTATCCGGGGTATCGAACAACAACAATAATAAGCCAATTGGGGATTTGGCAAATTAATCATGTTGCAAAAGTGATGTTATTGCTGGGGCATACAAAACATGGACTTGATGAATGTGGAGCTACCAACAACCAACAACTAATTGGAAGTGGCAGTTGGTCTCATCAGCTTTAATTTTAGCCATAAAGAATATATATAGATGCACGAGGGAGAGTAGCAAGATGCATGCCCCCCCTGCACTCTGCAGATCGATCGGATGTATATAGTGGGGAAGTGTCTCTTCAATTCATTAAATTGACTGCCATGTTACGTTATTTATGAGCTGAGCATCCTATTGGTTCATTTTTGCATGTTTTTTTCCTAGGTAGTTGAATGACTAGAGAGAGGGCGAGTTATATACGGAGTACTTATTTATATTGCAGGAAAAAGAAAAACAAATCTGAATTTTCAAAGAAGTAGTTTATTTATTTATTTATTTATTTTTGACTACAATCTAATCTATCTATAGCTCAAATATGTGAGTCCGAGACCTTCTGTTTAGAATGATAAGAGTGATGTCATCACATCGCAATGTACTTGGCCTATTTGGTGGTCACTATTGTTTTTTTTTTCCTATAGTTGTTGGTCTGACCAATAAAACTTGAGTGGTCAAGTGAAAACTATACTATGGAACATGGTCCACATTGTATTGTGAACCACATATAGAATGTTTTTTTTTTTTTATATTGAATACACATTTTTTAAAAAAAAACCGAATATGCATATTTAATATATTGAAAGTTCATTTTTTAAAAAATAAGATTCCTAAAAAATAAACACACAATACACAAAAAAATAAACTTTCATAAAATGAATATTCAATGCACTAAAAATTAACATTCAGTATACAAAAAATAAACTTTATGTCAATGGTACATCTTGTAATGTAGAACATTGTCCATTGTATAATGATTAGGTAGTTCAAATGATAAAGCATGATTCTTGTACCTAAAGGCTAAAGATCACGAGTTTGATTATTATTAACACTTTATTTGTCAAACCGATCGTACAAGGTCTTCCTAATGTAACTTACATCTTTTATATAGTTTGTAAACTATTACACAAGAATAAAGTTTGTTTAATAAATACTATCAAATAATGACAGCAAATTTTATTCGTCACTGCCTACAAAAATTCAATCAATAATCTTGTTGTTATGAGTTATGGCTAATTTGGCATTGCCCTGACATCTACGATAGGGACTAGGATGTCCAATTGAATAGGGCATTGTAACTCCACAATAAATTAAACAAACTTTCGATTCCTGTGAAAAGTGTTGAATTACTAGCAACAAAATTAGGTTGGAATTTATAATAGATTTAACTGTTAAAAATAAATAAAATAAGAAAAAAAAAATGGTGGGATCGATTTTATATAAATATATAAACCTTGAAAGTTTGTATATTTATGAAATTGATCCATTTTTTAAAAAAAATTATAGTCATTGATCATCTTATATGAACAGTTCATATTAGTCCAAATTTTTAGGTGTGGTGTTAAATTTGATTTTCATATATATATATATATATATATATATATATATATATATATATATATATATATATATATATATACACACACACAATGTAGAAATAAAGAGGATAAAACGAGAAAAAGAGCTGTAAAAATGCATAAGGATAATAAGAAGATGATGAAGAAGAAGAAAAAAAAGTTGTGAACAATATACAGAAAGTTAGAATCTTAGTTTTTATGAGTTTCTTGGAGAAACCTGCATAAATAACTATAGTAATGAGAGGTCATGAGTTTGATCCCCAGTGATGACGGTATTGATTATTTATGCTTCAGTATATTGAGAAAGTAGTTATGAACAGAAAAAAAAAAAAAAAAAAAAAAAAAAAACAAACAAACAAACAAACTATAGCAATGCTATATATCCCTCCTCCTATATTTTCACTAATAATTTCCCCTCCTAATGTGGTTGGAGGGTGGGGAAAAGAATATTTTCTTATTGTATATATGATTGTTGTTAGTTTTTATTTTGCTTTTTAATAAATTTCTTGTAATAAGAAATTGTTGACAATTATCTGTTGTTTTGATCGATCCAGCCGTTCAAAAAAAAAAAGCAACTATATTTCTTAGTGGTCAATAATAGTAAGGAACTTGTTTAATTTATTTTTTTTTTAAAGAAAAAACTTTTACTGTGTGCTACTGAATTATTATTATTATTATTATTATTATTTTTTAAGGTTTGCCTTTTTTACGAAAATAAGAAGTTGATTTATGTTTCATAAATCTTAATCATGTCATAACCCACGTGGTACGTAGTTAGTGGTTAGTGAATTATGTGGAAGCATCTTCACATGGAAAACTTGGATCCAACTGCTCTTCCCAACTAAACCATTTTCGTGGAAAACAACTTGCAGTTTTAAAAAATATTTTTTCTAAATCATTATATATAACAAAGTGTTCTGTGATAGGCTTGGACAAATATTAGCCATCAATATAATAGTTATAACAGTTAAAAATTATGAAAAATAAGGAAATGAATAGGTCAATGTTTAATTTAATAAATATTACAAACTTTCACAAATTGTAATATTTTAATTTGTAATATTTATAAAATCCCAATATTATTATATTTTACCATATTGCTCACGTATGGTTTAAATTCAAATAACTTACATAACCGTTATAGGAGATTTTGTCATTTTGACTAAAAATGAACATAATATTTATCAAATTAACTAAATTTGAAAAAAAAATACAAAAATTTATAATTATGCACCGGATGTCCAAGTGTCAAAATGTTGATAAAAGGATCGTTAAAGTCAATGACAATTATTTACGAATTTGACTTTACTTTCCCTAAAAACCGTGTACTAATTGCTATATGTAGCTTAGCATTAATGTATGGTATGAAATGTAAGTTTACCCAGAATGAGTTTATTTTGTATTTTTTTGGGTACCAAATTTAACATGGCACGAAAAAAGCTTTATATATATATATATATATATATATATATATATATATATATATATATATATATATATATATATATATATATATATATATATATATATATACATTTAATGATAAAAATGACAAAAATACTTACCTTGAAGGCTTGAACTATGGATGTGTATTCGGTTAACCGAACTGTTTTAACTAAAATGTTCAAAATTTCAACCGTTAACCGAATCAAACTTTATATTACTGAATTAACGGAATCGAATTTTTTTTTTATTAACCGATTAACCAAAATTATTTTAGCTACATTTTTAAATCCTTAAAATAAAACCTATAATAATAAATATAATTATTTCAATACCTATAATAATAAATACATAACTTCAATCCAAAATCCAAAGTCCAAACATCCATAGTCCATAGAGATTTCATTTTAGTTTTAAGGATTTTACATTATATATTTATTTATTTATTAAAAATTCCAGTTAATTGTTCAGTTAATTTGATTAATCGATAATTTCAAACTGAATTAACCGTTAACTGAAATTTTACAAAACCTCCAACCATTAACCGAACCGAAGTATTTCGGTTACAAAAATAATTAATCGAAAATTTTCGATTCGATCGGTTAACCGAACTTTCACCAAAGTTTGCTTATCCTACCTTGAACCAATATATATCTGCATATAATTGCAAAAAATAGGATATTGTTTAATTTCCTTTTTTAGCTAGCATTCATAATAATGATATAAAAATTATTTTCCTTCAATCGCGGGAAACTATCACATATTTTCATCTAATTTTTTGAATAAATATTATCCTACTATTTACATTTTGTAAGATGAAATTAGTTTAATCAAGTTTTGTTCATATTGTATTCAAAGACATTTTCTCAATATTGAAACAATATTGATGAGGATATACATCGCGTATATAACAATTAACAATTACTGGTCATTTTTTATGTCAATATATAGTGTGCTTTATGACCAACTAGAAAGGGAAATGGACCTTACCAGGACAAACAAGTATCATGTCAAGCATCATCTCAACCATCACACCAGTCCGCGACTCTTTAGCATCCACACGTAGCGCGACTGGCATATAGGAGAACACCACATGCCCCTCATTAGTAAAAATTTCAACATGTGTTCTATGTCCCAACGCTATAAAAGCCAATTTACTTCGCAAAATAATAAACTTTGTCTCAAAGATAACCTTATTATTTCTTAACCTGTTGATATTATTTTGATATTATGAATAAAATATTATGTATTGAGGATTATATATATAACATTATATTGTATTCATAATCATACAATGCAAGTGTAATTATAGAACTACAAGATTTAGGTGATGATATTGATCGATCACCTTAAATTAAAGAGACACCTCTAATCTTACATTTTTACTTTAAACTGCGGTTGATACCGTTACAGAGTTACAAAGAGTAATTTCATATCGTTAGTATCTTGGTAAATCGTGGGATGTGCCTCAATGATGTAGGGTTTGAGTATTTGCTTTTTGTTCCAATGTTGAAATCGTTTCTCATTGGGGATTTGAATCCAAGTATTTGTTGGGTCACTAGTCATTACATCCACACTCAATCTTTTGACCACTGCGCTATTCTCTATAGGCTACTAGACTACTATATAGTACTATAATAGCTCGTCTGGTTCGCAAGAAAATAAGTTTATAAGAGAATGTATACCGCAAATAGCGTTTCAAATCAGCTCATGACTTTTAATTTTTTTTTGTTTTAATATTTATTAATTTACAAAAACGACACCATCTACCCTTCATTAATCAAAATCATATCTTAGTTTATCATTTTATGTCTTTGTACACTTATCACCTTATTCAACAATTAGTTTTACCAAATACTTTATTTTTAATTAATTAGCTCATTAGCTAATAATTTTTTTTGTTTTTTTTTTTTAGCTTTCAGCCCGCTTTTCAACTAAACGTCCTAATGTATAATTGAAAATTTGAATCCACTATACTTAGTAGCTAAAAAAATAAAAATATCATTTCTTTTTAATTATTTATCTGATAAAGTGACAAATACAGTTACATCACACAAATATTTTTCCATATTTAGGACTAGACTAGATACATACACACACAAAAGAAAAGAAGAAAAAAAAAAAAGAAAAAAAAAAGAAGAGATTTATACAAAAGTTGGAACATAAATTATCAAAACATTAGCCTGATTGCCTGAAGGAGAGGAGTGGGAGAGATTATTGGGCCAAGAATTACGCAAATATACGAGTACCACTGGATTCCCTGGCCCCTCCAGCAACGCTGCTCGATCTCTACTGTGTAGTTGTCCGGATGCGAAAGCCCCCACACAGTCCAAGGCAAGCAAAGAGAAACAACAAAGATTCTTGAAAATTGCGAGAGACACACCATTACCCCTTTGCTGCTTTCAATTATCAATCAAAGCACCCAACTTTCAATCCGGGAGCTACCTAATCATCATGCCATCAGGTGCTAAGAAGCGGAAAGCTGCCAAGAAAAAGAAGGAATCGGAAGTCAAGGGGGCCTCCCAACTTCCCAACTCTACATCTCTCCCTGCTCCTCTCAGTCATGGTACTCTCTAGTCTCTATACTCCTGTATAAGACATAAAAATGTGTGTGTGTTTGAATACAAGTACAAAGATTTGCTTTTTATGATTCTTCTGGCCAGTTTCAGTAGAGGCATATACGGGGGTTCAATCATTTTCTTATCTTGAAAACCTTTACAGTTGTTCTGCTTCCCAATTTGGGTTTGTGGTACCCCTTATTTTCTCTTGAAAAGTTGCATTCTTTTCTTTTGTTCTCTATTTTAATATTTATTACATCTCTGTAGGGTTTTGAGGGTTTGATTGGTTATGGGTTTGCTGGAAAGTGGTTAACTTTTCCTTTTCTGTCAATTGATTTAGTATGGGATTAATTTTGCTTGTGGAGTGGCTATATATATATTTATGGATTATGTTTGAGGTCTATGTGCTTGATTGGCAAGTGTTTATTTGTTTTTCTTTTTGCAAGATCCTGTGTTGATTGGTCTTGATGAATCAAACTATGGCAGGGGAAGAGGATTTGAAGCATCATGATGACAAAGACAGTGATGGAGGGGAGCTTTGTTCCCCTGCATCTCAGGATAACCGAAGCCAAGACCAGTTCGTGGAGGGAGACGAGGAAGAGGGGGATAAGAAAGTGGTTGTGGAAGAGGAAAGTGTTATTCATGTTGAAAGGGAATTGAAGGGTTTGGATGAACCCCGGGACCAGGATATAAATGTTGAGTGCATCGAATCCTCGAGGGGATCTCATGAAGGAGGCTCGTTAAAGAGCTCAACTAGCAGCAGCAGCAGCAGCAGTTCAGATGATGAATCTGATGCTGCCGTCAAGAACAAAATCACGGTTGATAATTCTCCTACTGGTGTGGAGAACGAACTTGATTCTCTATTGGCTGCTAAAGTTACAGATAGCATTCTTGAAACTGAAACTTGTAAATCAGATGTGGGAGCAGTGACATCTATTGAGTTGGACAAGACTGCAATATCTGAGGAGATGATACAAGTTGAAGATAATGCTATGACCTCATATGCAATTCAATCAGATCTGATGAAAAACGAGGAGAAAAAGTTGGGTGTAGATGATGAGAGTGCTTCTATCTCAGAAGTTCGAGTGGGTGCAACTCAAGAAAATGGAGTTAAACAACCAACACCCGCATATGATACTCCCGAAGTTGATGTTAGTACTGGTGCTGATCCTATCAAATATTCTGAAATTCCCGAGTGCTCTGATAGCCAGGTCCTTCAATTTTCATATTCAGTTACGATTGAATTAGTTTATGGTCAAAATTCATGCTTTGATTTATGTATTGGGGCTAAAGGTTATCCGTTTTTGTCAACTATTTGCAGCCTCCAGTGGGTTCAGTTTTACAACCGGTTCAAACAACATCTTGGAAGGGTTGCTGTGGACTGTTTGAGCTGTTCACGGGATCCAGTAGATAAGTTCAGGTTAGAGTAATCTAATATTCATTAAACATCTTTCCCGATGTTGCTGTGGACTGTTGTGCTAATATTGTACTAAATTGCGGTAAAATTGGTAAAAATATTTCTGATGCAGGAGAGTGTTAAACATGCTTACATTATCAGCGATGCTTGCTGGGCTTGGGTAAATCGAAGAACTCCGCAATAGTACTTTTCCTTCTCAAAGAATAACTAGCTAGCGAAAGAGGTGATTACACAAACTCAAACCTTAAAGCGGTCTAAGAGCCTTATATTTTGAAAAAAGCAGCTTGGAACTACTTGCTTCTGTGTTGCTTTCTCGTCATCTTGTAGCAGTTAGCCCTAGTTTTCCTGCCCGTTTTCTACATTTCATTAGCGTGATAGTCGTTTGTCTGTGCCAGGAAGCTTGAACTGCATATTCGTTTTTAGTTCTTTGTTTCATAATCAGTTTTCACTTTTACTAGCGAGCATTATATTATATATATTCTGTCTCGTAACATGCTTTTATTTCACAAATACAATCAAGGTAGTAATACATAACTTCAGTGAACAACAAAAGAATGAAAAACGGAAAATATAATAATAATAATAACAAAAAGAAAGAGTATAAATCACACTGCACACTCCTTCACGCATATATCTATATAATCTATGATTAATTTCTCGAGCCATGGATGGCGGCTATGTATACCAGTTGAGTGACAGTAAGTATGATCATGAATGCTTCCATTGTTCTCTGCATATTTGGAATTCAAAAGAAAAACTTATAATGTGTTATATTGTGGATTTCTTGGAAATATGATTGAAACACTAACCAGGTTGGCATTCCTGAGGTTTAGCTGAATCTCTTTCCAAGCAAACCTGCAAAACATTTACTCTTTGTTGTCAAATGGGAAAAAGCCTCCCAATTCCAATGTTTCAATTCAATTCTTATGCTAAAAGCTTTAATTTTGCATTCTAGTTTATGTTTCAATATGGTTACTATCGAGCCAAGCTTGAGCTTGAGTAATGAATCATATGCAAGAAAGTTATGTTAGGATTGGGAACGGTTACCCCATGGCAAGAGCAGTAAGACTCCAGGAAATAGCTGCAGCAGAAGCAGCAGCAGGCATGCTCTGAATGGTCCAATGGCGGATATGGTTGATTCCGGCGAGGACAGACGCCACTCCAACGACACCGGCGATCAGGGAAAACGTGACAAAGAATCCGGTGGCTGCGTTTCCCATCGGGAAGTATATAGGTGAGAAATGCGCCGGGAGTTCAAGTTCTCGACCTGTTGATTAAAACCCCACAACATTAAAATGCCATCCCAAAAATGTGGAAACAAGGAGGTCGTCAGCTAGGGACAACCTAAGCTGGTTTACCTCCTTGAGTTTCTTTGCTGGTTAGGATCAGAAGGCGGGATTTACCCAGTACACATCATTAGACAGTGACTGCAGGTTTCCTTCGTTACCCAAAAAAAAGATAAAAATGCATAAGAGAGTAAGCCTAATTACCGATGATGAAGCCATGATCGATGGCTATGTTCATCGCCCAGCCGCCAATGGCCAAGACCACAACATACATGCAGAAATGCAGCAGCAACAGCAGTGATGCAACCGATCTAAGGCTCGACCCATTAGCCATTCTTGAACCCTATGTTCAGAAACAAGAGACTTGTGTCTTCTTAAAGTATGAGAACCAGGAAATTAAATGAAATGGCTTAGAGAATTTGAACACAAACATACATGTGTTTTGTGCAGGCATGAGGGGTTTTTATAAGTACCCATTTTCACCATTCGAGAAGGCTGATGTTCTTTTCTTGTAAGGCTGTTTGTTCTAAAGGGCTTTGTGGCGTTGTAAAGACAATTATATTGCTTCATGGTCAAGGCAAAGCTAGGAAGCTAGGTCCTATATTCTTTCTTTGCAGCCGGCTAACATTCTAAACCTTACTTTTGGATAGTACATTCTTTGATTGCAGAAAGAACATCCTTTTTTATTGACGAAAAACCAGCAATTGCTACCTGAATGTGCGTTCTAGGTTAAGTTAACAATGAGGTAAACCAGCCTAGGTTAGCCATAATTGACTGGTTTGAACCAAAAAGGCCAATACACAATTCTCACATGAACTTTGTGGTTACCAAATCAATTGTTTGATCGACTGGGTTGAGGTTATCTTTGCAGAAAGAACATCCTTTGCTTAGCTAGCTAGGTTGATCTTTTGTTTTGGTTCTTTAATGTACTAGGTTTCTAGGAAGAAAAGTGTAACTGTTTGCCGCAAATAGCTAAGAGCTTGAATCTCAAGTTTGATCACTCTCTCCATCATGCACAGTTCTGTAGTTAATATTTAAATTAATGTGAACAGAGTTTCCTCTATAATCTCTAATCAGAAACGCAAAGTATATAACAATACCCCACAACTAATTTTGCAACCAGATCTATATAATAAACTTTATAGGTGTGAATGCATATTATGTTAATAATTTTTGTTTGTTTTTTTTTATGCACTAAAAGACTTGTACATTGTGCATAAAATTTCATACATGGCATACTATTCTCGCACTTACCCATCATTATTATAAGTGTTATTAACAATTTTAGGCACATGTCCATCCAGAAAATCGTGAAAGACGAAAAAAAAAGAGAAAATATCATTTTTAGTCCCCCGACTATAATATATGTATCAATTTTAGTCATTGACTATTAATATTTTCAAATTAGATGTATGACTATTCAATCTGTATCAAATTTGGTCCTTGACTATTAACATTTTCAAATTACGTGCATGACTATTCAATTTGTATCACATTTAGTCCTGTCGTAAAATTTTTCGACAAAGTCACTGGTGACCGGCTAATTTATTTAATTTTTATTTTTAATTTTATTTTAATAATTGTTACATTAAAAAAAAAAACTTTAAAAAAATGACCATCACCCCACCCTCTTCCTTTGTCTCCGTCGGAGAAGAAGGAGGAAGGGATGGTCGGCGTTCTCTCTCTCTCTCTCTCTCCCCCCCCCCCCCCCCCCCCCCCTTCCTTCGTCTTCGCTGGAGACGAAGGAGGAAGGGAGCCGGAGACGAAGAAGGAAGGGAGAAAGAGAACGCCGGCCACCCTACCCCCTCTTCCTTCATCTCCGCTCCGGATGAGGGGTGGGGTGGCCGTCGTTATTTATTTATTTTTTATTTTTTTCATTTTAAGATTTGTAATTTAAAAATTATTAAAATAATTTTTAAAATATAAATTAAATAAATTAGTTGGTCACTGATGAATTGGCTAGAAATTTGACCGGAAAATTTAACAGCAGGACCAAATGTGATACAAGTTGAATAGTCATGCATCTAATTTGAAAATTTTAATAGTCAAGAATTAAAATTGATACATGTATTATAGTTGAGGGACTAAAAATAATATTTTCTCGCAAAAAAAAATAAAAAATAACTAAATAAAGTTACCCAAAAATGAAAACAATGTAAGTGACAAATAAATAACATCTTCAAAGAAATCATAATCTTCTTTGTCATAAATATGTATAGGGAAAATTGCATCATGGTCGCACAATTGTATTAGAATAGAACTACAACATGTACCTATGAGTGGTAGTTTTGTTTTTGTACAAATTAGTAACCACAAAAAAAAAAAAAATTAATTCGATAAACTCGCCCTTATTTAAATTGCTTCATCCACTTTTGAACAAAAAATTTAGGAATATGACAATGTAGAAAAGTTCATTTAAATTGAAGTGTAAAAAAAAATGTAGTAAAAAATCACATGCATAAACAAAATCTTTTAAATTAAAAAGTATTCACACGATAGTACAAAAATAATACTTCTACATCATAAACTACACGCTCTATAGAGTTGATTGTTTAAGCACCTCTTGTCTCTGGAATATGATACGTACGCACCACTCTAAACGTGATTGCATTCCATTTGTGTCTAGGATGAAGTTCACGTCCAACAATATAGATTTGAGTTGAAGTCATGCTTATTTAGTGTAAATAGGTGAAAGTTTACAGTTATACGTTTAACATAATGAAATATTTATATAGAAAAAATAATTCATATTTACGCAAAATTACTATTCGAATAAATATGAAACAGATTTTGCGTGTATAGATTTACTGATGTATTATTGGTGTAAATAATGTAATTTTATATTAATATTATATTGGAATAGTGACGGAATAATATTGTTGAATAGGAATATGAATATGAGTTTTAATACTGTTGAATAGGAATAAGAATAGGAGTTTTAATACTCTTGAATAAGAATAAGAATAGGAGTTTTAATATTCTTGAATAAGAATATGAATAGAAGTTTTAATATTGTTGAATAGGAATATGAATAATGAATATGAGTTTTAATCTATACTATTTTGGGCGGAAATTAAAATAGAGAATTTTATTTTTATTAATAGTACGGAACTATTTTAAATGGTTTATTCGATAATTGCATAATTTCCTTCATATTTATTTATTTATTGAATTAGTTGCCATCGTTTCATTGTCGCTGCCTTTCGTTCGTTCATCCTCAACATCGCCTTAACAACAATCGACTCGCATTTCTCTCGGAAAATATGGCTGCCATAAGTCTACGGAAGGGAAACACGCGTCTGCCGCCGGAGGTGAACCGTGTGCTCTACGTCCGAAACTTGCCTTTCAACATCACCAGCGAGGAGATGTACGACATCTTCGGCAAGTACGGAGCCATCAGGCAGATCCGAATCGGCACCAACAAGGACACCCGCGGCACCGCCTTTGTCGTCTACGAGGATATCTACGACGCCAAGACCGCCGTTGACCATCTCTCCGGCTTCAACGTCGCCAATAGGTACCCAATCTGAAACCCTAACCGAGCTATCTACTTTTGTAATTTCGTCCGTTATCGATTTTTTGATTTACAATTGACTTTGATTTTTCGGAAATTGAATTGTATAGGTACTTGATAGTGTTGTACTATCAGCAAGCCAAGATGAGCAAGAAGTTCGACCAGAAGAAAAAGGAGGAAGAGATTCAGAAGCTTCAGGAGAAGTATGGGATTCCCAGCAAAGATAAGTAGTTATATTGTAAACCCTAATTTTTCTCAATGTCCAGTGCTTTTCACTATTATGTGTAGAATTGTAGCTAAACTGTAACTGGCAGTAAAACAGAAGTGAGGAAAGCCAAAGATTGGCTTTGATATTGGTACTTTGTGATGCTGAATTAGCAGGGTGAATGAACATTTTCAATTTTGCCAGTTGTGTTATGCCTCCTTATATATTAATCTATTATCTTGTGCTTTATACTTGTGTACTTGTTTGTGTATGATGGTTCTTAACTTTTAATCTAGGCATGGGTATTTGTGAGTATTTGCTGAGTACTGATTGTTCTCTAAAAGAGTAAGACTTAGAGAGGGTCTTAGTCACAATTGTGTACTGGGAAGGTTGAATAACAATCTTTATTCTTTAATTTTATATGTTCTGTGACTTCTGTCTAAACTTCCCAGGAAGAGTATGCATTGTTTTGTTAGACTTCCTAGGGGATTTCGGTGACAACTGTAGCATGGGTGAATTGAAGCTTATGAAACTTGTTTTAACTTATGAATTCTTAAATAAACCCCAGAAGGTGAATTTGCCTGCGCTCGCATCTTTTTTTTTTTTTTTTTTTTTTTTTTCCTTTCACTAGAAAAAATGGAGAATTTCTTTGGTTAGTAAATGCATCTTTATGTTTATCAGTGCACCTTGTGTCTCAATGTGGAGGAAACAACTAATCATAACCTAATCGATTGCAACTGCACAAGATAGTGCTCTTTATTTCTTATTTCCCTATGTTGTATCCTGTGGGTTATGCCAAGTTCTGTTAAGGATCTGCTTGGTGAATCTCTAGAAATTTGGTTATTGTTATTTTGAGGGCTTTCAAAATGTGAAAGGCTTGCAATCAGTGCTGTTAACAATTTAACATTGAGTAGGTTGCTGTATATATGCAGGCTGTGAATATAAAAGCACACCAATTTGTTGAGTAATTGTTTTTTTTTTTTTTTAAATAAAAGTTTTGATGATGAATTCATGTAAAAACTCACTGCATTTTTCATATTTAGTCTCGTACTATCGTTTTTATCATTTAAAACACTAGACTATCATATTTTGAACAATTTTGGTGGTGAATTTTTCAACCAAACTCCGTTTTAATTTGTTGGCAAATTCACCGGATAGCAAGACCAAAGTGTCTAAAATATGATAGTCTGGGTATAAAATGACAAAAATGATAGTCTGAAACAAAATACATAATTGTTATAATAGACAATGGACCTCCGTTAGGATTAACTCTATCTTAAAACTATACAATAGTCATGATTACATATCAAACATTAATTTAAAACTATGAGAAATTACCATTTTGGTCTCTCAATTGTTTCCCAACTATCAATGTAGTTCATAGTTTTCAATTTCAACTGATTTGATTCTCGAATTGTTTAAAATTTCGTCAATTAAACCCTTCGATGATCAAATTGACGAAATTTTAAAAATACGAAAATCACCATTTTGGTCCATCAGAAGGGTTTAATTGACGAAATTTTAAACAATTCGATAGTCAAATTAGTTAAAATTGAAAATTATACGCTATATAGACAATTGAGAAATAATTAAGGGATCAGAAATGTGATTTTTCCTTTAAAACTACATTTAAATGCAAAGATGAATACAACATAAGTGTACGGATAAACAATGAATAAGACTACTACGGCAATACAATAAGCTCAAAAGTCAAAGTCATATAAATGAAATAGTACAAGTTCATAAACTCAATACATTCTTCTCCCATAAACTCAATACATTAACTTTATAGAATATTGACATAAGACTATGTACTTACATATTTAAATTTATGTACATCTAGTTAACAGATTATGTATCTACTTGTATTAACCAACTGAAAAGAGAGAGAGAGAGAAAAAAAAGACACACTAGTTTAAACAAGATTAGAGTTCAC